GGATGGATGGATGGATATTCTTTATATTTATGTACATGTTGTTTGAAGCCCTAAAATGAATAATTTACCCAAAAACAGTACAAGTTGTGTTTGGTATAGTACTACGTGATAATTCGGTTGGCGAGTGTAGTTCGGCAGGCAAAAAATAATTCCTACATAAAACTGCTCACAATTTTTCTTGAGTCACCAGGTCATGATTTCTGTGAAGAGACATTGATGTTGAGTTTTACAAATGTATTCTTTTGTAGAGCTTAGATTCTCTGCCTGAACCCAACCCAACCCGTGGGCCGCAAAAAATCAGCAAAAATGACAGCAAAAAGACGGGGACCTCGACACTTAAAGGACAACTTCGGTATTTTTCAGCCTGGGCCCTATTTCCCCATGTGTATGTTTGCGTATGATTCATAGGTACCACTCGTTTTAAAATTGGTTCAGTATTGAGGGAGGCGGATGCAGCCGGGAGCCGCGAAACAAGCTAAAACGGTAACTGGGGCAAATGCGTCCCGTATAAGTTTGCGCATTAAAAGTGCTTTTTTTCGCCACTGACCGGTTCAGATCGCCAGTGCTATCTCTGTATATAGCATACTAAGCATTTCGAACATTGTTTATATAACATTACCTCCACTGTGTCTGTAGCTCTCTCTACTCGTGGGACAGCTGTTTTCTTGAGGAAGAGGTGTTTCGGGATTGGATGTCTTCTCTTCTTCGGCTGGCAGTAGTCATCTTGGGAGAAGTGAGCACTGCAGACCCGATGGTCTGCAAGGCGCAGTGTCTGGACAGGAGTGTTAGCATCCATTTGTAGCACAACTAGCCACAACTTCAGCATCTCGCTGTCCGACAAAGGCAGCCTGTGAAAGCTGTATGGGGTGTTGCGCGACATCCTGTTCTTGCAATTCGGATAAGCACAAACACGAACCATTGTTTTCAATCGATGCAGTAAAACTCTCAGCTGTACTCCGGGACAACCAGCGCCACTCTGAGCGGTCGGGCTGGATTTTTTGGGCTTGATCTAAGCTCTATTCTTTTGGCACTGTGGGCACCACAAGTTGAGTGCCATCTAGTTTTATTTTATCGGAGAGAAGGCAGACATCTCTACGGCCGATATCTCCAACACTCTGCAACTCACACCAAAACTATCTAGACTGATAAATAGCTCCATTGGTGAAAAGAAAAATATGAAGTTTTGATTTTGAGGTGAACTGTCCCTTTAAAAACTTTGTCTTCACCACATATTCGTGCATAGTTTGTTTGTATTTTTCCAAAAATTGGGCGTTTTAGACAAAGATAAATGGATGTATTAATATATGTATGCATACACTATTTAAAACTCATTGTTTTGGAAATGTATTTGATGCTGAATGTACATTAAAATATAAAGAAAACGGAGAAAAAAAACAACTTCCGGCTTTTGGTAAATGAAAAATGAATTTTGTAGAAAAAGTTCCTCAGAGCAAAAATTTTGAGAAAAATTGTGGTTTCAGAAAACTCAAATATAATATTGGCAACAGTGCAAAAATATATGAAAAATAAATAAAGTCAGACTAACACAACCCAAGTTTTTCTTTTCTGAGAAACACAGGATATCACTTCATGTAGAAGAAGAGGTTGAGCAAACATGGATTAAGACGCTGTGGGGATCAGTCTTGTCACATCAGATCAGTCCATTAAAACAATTTTTCCTCTCATAATAACAAACTAATAAATCATCTCTGCATGAATTCCCAATGTTTCTTGGTGCCAACTGCATGGATGATTAAATGAACTTTTTACTGGCAGCACTGAAGGAAATAGGAAGTAAATGAAAATAAGATCTAAATTGAATTAAATCGAAATTCTCATATAAGTTTTATTGTAATAGATTTGTACTGAGGCAGAATATCGTTGTAATCATCAAACAGTTTCACTATGTTGTGTCTCGTTCAGTGGGCTGCGTCTCCTCACGCTGCCTGTAGGTGTGATTCATTATACTGCACGCCTCCGTTACTACGTGCCGCTCACCGTATTCAACATAAACACAACATGACCCTGCTGAACAGAGTGTTTGCCAGCTTTGTTCACACACATCCGATGTTTGGAGCCGCTCAGGGTTGGCTGAATCAGGAAGTGTGTGTGTGGGAAACACTGATTAACAGTCCTGAGAGGTGAGAGGTGTGTGTTCACTGTGTGTGTGTGTAATCAGGGTGTGTAGCAACAGCGATAAACACATTTACAGTTGCACAACGTGGCTCAGCAAACAGAGAAAAGCTTTCTGTGACATCACTGTGTCACCACAGCTGTCAGTTTAAAGGAGCTCCACTTGTCAGCCTGCTTCATATAGACACACACACACATACACACACACGTTATTCTCTTGGCTGAGGTCAGGCTGACATGCTGGCCTCGCCAAGCTTTCTCTGACTGGCTTGAAGTGTGTGTTCTCCACGTCAGCTGTGGGTCCTGGCACACTGAGGGAGAGCTGGAGTAACACAGAGCGTGTCTGTGATGACAGGATCATCTGATGTGTGCAGCAAGAAGCAACAACAGTACAGAAACTTAGAGGAAGTCTTTGAAGGAAGTTTTTCAGTGATTTTTTTTTACCAAGTGTCATCATGTTCTTACTTTGTTGTAAAGCTGGTGGCCCACATTCACGCTCTGTGTTCTGTGTTTAAATCTATGGATGTTGAATCTGTTTTTTAGTCGCTCCAGCTCTAGACTTTATACCCTATGACATCATAAGTTTTACCTGGTATTAACGTGCACGTCTGTGTCCGAACACAAGCTAACAGCCGAGACTCATCACTGTTCACACCTGTGTCTATCATGGTTCTCCAGCTGACCACTTGTGTTCGGATTTCATTACTGCCCATGTCTCTTGTGTTAGAAGGTCAAAGGGCCCAGTGCATGATGCTCACTAGTCACGTTAGACGTAACAGTACAGCCGGAGATATCGCTGTCTGTGACTTCAACATGTCTCCTTCCATAGGACGAGACGATGGATGGTTGATGACTGATGACCTTACTCTTTGTCGAGTAAAGCGTCAGTGTCACCAAAACTACTACCACATCCTGCATTGGTGACATAATTCTTGTCAGGGATGCATCAGGACGTATCAGTGTAACACCACAAAATAAGGGCGGCACGGTGTTGCAGTGGTTAACATTGGCACCTCACAGCAAGAGGGTTCATGGTCTGAACCTGGGGGTTTGAACCCCAGGGTGGAGAGCCCCTCTGTGTGGAGTTTGCATGTTCTCTCCGTGTCGGCGTGGGTTTTCTCCAGGTGCTCCAGCTTCCTCCCACAGTCCAAAGACATGAAGGTTAATTGGTGACTCTATAGCCCCTTTTACTCTGCCAGATTTTCGGCTAATGTTGGGCCGTTTTGCCGGCAAGCTGCGAGCGTTTAGACACACAGAGCCGGATTGGCGAGTTGATCCGAGGTGCCCAATTTTCCGCCTCGTAGGGTAGACATATTGGTGGAACCCTTTTAGTTTAAACAGACCGAGGCGGCCTTCCGCAATGGGAGGGGCTGTTGATGACTTGTGGGAGGAGCTGTTGATGACGCTGCACGTGCGAGCCACTGGCAGTGGATAAACAGGAAGCAGCTGATAGCAGGAATTAGCGAGCAGCTAGTAGCAAGAGGGAAACACAAACCTGACAGACACTGTAAAGATGAGCAACTGGGGAGACAAGGAATTGCGCGCCCTCCTTGTCCTCACAAACGAAGAGGCCATTAACCGTCAGATGACGGGAACAGTGAAGAACGGGCTGACTTACGAGAGAATCGCCAAAGGACTGACCAGCCGCGGCTTCCCTCCCATGTCACTGTTTACGTCACACTGAGCTACACGTTTTGTTACTTGCTCACGCCCCCCATTGCCCCGAAAAAGGCGCATTCTGTATGAACAAAAGTAGGTAGGCGGCATTTTGCTGCACTCCCTGATTTTGTTTTTATACTGCCAATGCTGAAAAAAGACTGATTGGGCTTTCCTGCAAATTTGCACAATTCCTATCTAAAAAGGGCTTAAGTTACCCGTAGGTGTGAATGTGAGTGTGAATGTCTGTCTCTGTGTGTCAGCCCTGTGAGAGTCTGGTGACCTGTCCAGGCTCCAGCCCCTCTCAACAGGATAAGCGGTCACGGAAAATGAATAAGGTGGCCAAATGTGTCCTGGATCACCTCGGCAAGTTGTTTGAGTAATCTGATCACAATGCCTCTTGGTGGTCGTTTACACTTGTATGATCTGATCACCTAAGACACATGTTAACACCAGGTGTAAACAGTCTCTTTAAGAGTGACGGCAAGAGTCCACAACTTTTGACTCTTGCAGCAAAATGGTAGCAGGTCACTGGGGAGCTCTTCATCCCTCTCTTTATTTAGCACTTTTTAGATGAAGCCCTGAGCGTGAGTTTTGTTTCTGTGACATTAACGCCATGTTACCAGAAGGTTGACTGCTCGTATATGGTTATAAAAGCACAGCACTCACCCGCAACTTTCAGTGACCTCCCACAAATTGACTGTTTTGTCTTATTTATCTTATTTGTGATAGAAAGTAGCTCAAGGAGTGACAGTGACGACACCAGAGCCTGTCTGAAAAATTCTGAGATTTTCAACTCAGACCAGCTGCACAAAAATGCCCTAGACGCCGCTGACAGTGTCTGTTTTTCAGGGCGGTTGCATACGCTCTCTCCTCACTGTGAAGAAGTGAATATAGACGCTGGCGCACATCGACTAACTTCTCTGGTTTCTGGCTTTGAGAGAGAATAGCTCACGTTCACAAATATTCATGAAGCTTGTTGAATTTCCATTTGAGGTGTAAACGCTGCTGGTTGATATCCACAACCACAACCACCACACACACGTTATGTTGACTCCAGCTTCCAGTGGAAACAGACTTGATTCTTGTCTTGACTTTGTGTAAAAGCTTGAAAACATTACTACAAGCACACAGTCTGTGAAGCCAGACTTTGTACTGAAACTCGTCCACACTCATCCATCCTCTCCTTCCCTTCTCTGTTTGCTCTGCAGCGTCTGATACCGAGCAGGATGCGGCGGTGAAACTTGACCAGGAGCGCGCTGAGATAGTCGCCAAATATGACAAGGTATGGTGAACACTCCCTCCAGCCAGCAGCACACACACACTTTATTCTGGTGTAGTTGCAGTTCACAACAGTAGTTTCTTCTTGTGGTCACCCACAGCTGAATTACAGTCACTCACTCACGCTGAGATTCATAACAGTGTGGTGAAATCCCTCCATGAATCACAGCCTGGAACACAATAATAACAGCAAGCGTCATTCAGCTCTGTGTTTTCAACCTTCTCATGAGTAAAGCGAGGCTGTGATTATCATGTTGCCACATTACAGACGGAGGATCCTCAGCAGAGAGCCGACAGAGATTAACATGAAAATTGAAGAAATACTGTACCCGAGAAAATGAGCGTTAGTATATCAATTACTCGCCATGGTTACAGTGAACTCATGAAGAAAACTCTCATGCCTCCACAGTGAAGGAAGAATCCAAAAACTGAGAAAATTCAAATGGGTCCATGTTTAACAGCAGCAGAACTATATCAAAATATCTGCTCACAAACTCACACACAACTCGTGCAGTTTAATCCAAGTCCAGTTTATCCAGTTGTACTTCCTCAACAGAAAGTACAACTTCCTGATCTTATCTGTGCTCTCTTCTAGGGGTATAAATCACTGGTTTCATCATGATACAATATTATATCAATTCTGGATAACGATACGATATTTACTGATATTACAAAGTCTGCCACGGTACAGTTTCTGCCTATAGCCCTATTCGGACGGGATTAGTTTAACGTGGAGACGTGGGGGTAAAGTAATTATTACCAGGGATTTTAGTCCTGTCTGAACACGCCATGTCTGTAATCATTACGGATAATGTCAGTAAAAATTACGGCGACTTTTACCTTCTGTAAAATGATCTGCAGAAAACACCTCAGGCAATATTAATCCTGTGTGTACGCGATCCTCTGTAGAAATGTATGTAAATATTTCGTCACGTCCTGTTTACAACTAGTTTTCTGCATTTTTCTGATGATGGAGGCGCTTGAAGAAGCACTCGGTGTTGTCGGCAGTCGTGATAGCGAACATTCTTCTAACGATCGTATAGCCCTACGTTGGAGACCAATCAAAAAGGTCGAGAAGAAAGCACTTTTCAGAGACTTCTGGTTGTGTTAGGTCGGCCTAATATGAACCCATATTGCTAATGGTTGTGTACACACAATCCTGATCAAGGGCAGTACTTCATATTGGGATAACCATTAATTATTATTATCCTTCAGCTGATGCTTACAGGAAGCAACGTAGCACACACATGCCGACAGGGAGGTGACGCCAGGGCGCAAACCGAGTTTCCACTCCCATCTCTGGTAGAATTACAGAGATTTCTTGTCCCGTGTGAATCGGACATTTATATTACAGACATCCTGTGGTGAACTGACATTAGTCCACACCCCTGTGTAAAACTAATCCCGTCTGAATAGTACTTAAGAGACTTTTATGGAAGAAACTTTTTCATTTTAACCTAAACCATCATCTTTTTTTATAAAACTTCAGGTCTGTCTGGTTTAAATCCCAGAAGGCAAACTTCTCCCAACAGCCTTAAATCATGGACTAACAACATCATTTAACAAAGGCTTTACATTCAGCTACGTAATAACTGTCAGAGTTCACAGACATGTCAGCTGTTTTGGCCAATCACCCATTATTAGCTTAAGCATGTTTACATTGCATAAATTAGCCTAGCAGCTAGCGGAGTTTTTCCTCTACTCATAGCTTAACAAATTACATGTAACGTTATCATTTTTCTTACTCACCGGTGGTTTAAGTCACTAGCCCCTTTTACACTGCTGGATTTTCGGCGAATGTTGGACCGTTTTGCCGGCAAGCTGTGAGCGTTTGGCGAGTTGATCCAATTTTCCGCCTTGTAGGGTAGTCATATTGGTGGAACCCTTTTAGTTTAAAAAGACCGAGGCGCCCTTCCGCAACGGGAGGGGCTGTTGAAGACTTGTGGGAGGAGCTGTTGATGACGGCGCACGTGCGAGCCACTGGCAGTGGGTAAACAGGAAACAGCTGATAGCAGGAATTAGCGAGCAGCTAGTAGCAAGAGGGAAACACAAACCTGACAGACACTGTAAAGATGAGCAACAGCCATCTAGGCAGGTAATGTTGCGTCGCCGTATTGTTTACATACACCATGTGCTCTGTCTGTTGACTAGGGCTGGGTCGGTTCTCGGTACCACCAATTCGGTTCGGTACTCCGTCTTGGACCGGGTTTTTTTTTTTTTTTTTGAGACTGACTGGACCGCATGCTCGGGAGTAACATATGCGGAGCGGACACCGCGGAGGTCCGCCCGGTAAAAGTGGACATCCGCAAACTACTGTTTTTATCAATGGAGTCTGGCTTTGAAGAGGTTGTAGATAACTTTCACTATTTGTTGCAAGTTTAGGAAGTACTGAGTATATACCGGATAAATTGGGCTGCACGTGTTGTGTGACGGTTTGTAAATGGATGTTTTGGTATAGTTTTGCTTTTGTTAAATGCTGACCCCTTCGACCTTAATCCATCAACAGTTTTCTCTGTTTTTGGATTCTTCGTTCACCGTGAAGTCACGAGAGAAAAATAAAGTCTTCTTGAAGAATTCACTGTAACATGGGGTGATTAATTGAAGTACAAATGGTCTTTGTGGGTGAAGTGTTCCTTAAAAGCCACCTTGATGGTCCACACTGTGTGAATGTTGAGCGAGCTGAACACTGTGTCAGAAGGACAGCAAAAGACAAACATCAGTGCTTTTAAGAGAAGAAGAATCTATCTCCTGTGCGTGGATACTTTCCACAGTTTCCCTGCTCTGTGTGTGTGTGAGTGTGTGTGGTGGCGCTGTATGCATGTTTCCTGAGTGACACCTCTATTTCACAGCCCGGCGGTATCAGTCAAACCAGCCCACCATGCTCGGTTTGTAAATTAGTCTTTTTAATTTAGTCCAGCAGGCTGCATAATCACGCTGCCTCATTAAGAGTGAAGAGACCATGGAGAGGAGATGATGGAGGCGTGTGTGTGTGTGTGTGTGTGTGTGTGTTTTGGCACATAAAGCACAATCAGAGCTAAATCAGTGTCATTGTCACTGTCGGGGATGGGAGGAGTTTAATGGAGTCGGTTATCACGACGACCACACAGGCTGGTGTTCGCAGTTTCTCATCAGCCGGCGTTCGTGTGTGGATATTAAAAATGATTTCTTGTCTCTGCAGAAAGTGCAGAAGTGAAGAGTTTTGTTTCCAAATGACTTATTCACTCAGGTCTGACTGCCGCCTGTTACGTCAGGCGCTGGAGCTGATGGTTTTGGATCAAAGCCAGTGATTTCCAGAGTGAATATTTGATTTACGTTTTCACCAAAATGTCACGTTAGAATCAAATCTTCTCGTTGACCAGTCGATCCAGGGATGGAAATGTCTGTGTCTGAGTCCAGAGTCCTTTACAACTACTGGATGGATTGTTATAATATTTTGTGCAGACATTCATGTTCCCCAGAGGATAACTCTGACTGACTTTGGTGTCTCTGACTTTTCATCCACTTTGTTTTGAGTAAAAAGTCTCAACAACTATTTGCTGGAGTGTCATGAAAGTTTGTGCGGAGACAGAAGTGATGAACGTGTCAGCCATGATGGTGTTGGTGTTAGTGTGAGCACACACTCACGGTGTGAGGTGGAATAAAACACCGAGGTCTTTTGATTCTTCAGAGATCTCTGTGTGTGTTAGAGTTATTTATTTAGCTGGTGTGTTTCTGCTGAGGGAGCGGTGCAGACGCTGGGCGAGGACACAGGGAGGAGATGAATTTAGAAATATTTCACCTCAACATCTGGTCGTCAGACTGACCTGTGAAACCACAGACAGGCCTTCTGTCTCTGCGACTGTATGGAGAATATTTTAGCATATTTTTGCCGTGCACAGTGGAGAGCAGCAGGGAGGTCTGGTAGCAGACGAGGTTAGAGGTTCGTTAACTGTTTCTGTCGTGGTCAGTTTGATATCGGTGTGTTCAAAGTGCTTTATCTCCAAGTGCACGTCACACACTGAGCGAGCCGCCTGTTAATGACGCTGTGGGCTAATGGGCATGTAGCTACTTCCATGTTTCAGATGATGCGTCATGTTTGTAGTCGACCAATGAAGATGAATTTACATATCACCTTGGGTTCGTCCTTCACCTTCTCAAAATGATCCCACACTTTGGATTTCCTGCCCGACATGTTATTAACTAGCCTGTGGAATAACTGCAGGTACCAGCCCTGGAAATTAACCTGACGAGGACACTTCCTGTGTCTGTCCCTCGTGACCTTTCTTCTTTAACTGAACGGTGTGTAGGATTTAGGATTTAGTGGCATCTAGCTTTGAGGATTGCAGATTACACCCAGTGGAAACTTCTCCCGGTTAGAGTTCAATTAGTGTTCATTGTTCAGGATGTTCCTACCAGGAGTTGAATTATCTGTAGAGATCTCTTCTCTTCTGCTAACTACGATGGCCGACGCGAAAACACAAATGCCCCCATCGAGAGCCAGTGTTTGGTTCGTCCATTCTGGGCTACTGTATAAACATGGAGGTGCAGCACTGTGATCGCTGTCTGTACGTCATGGTGTTCACTTTACTTTGACTCCTTTTTGACTTTTATGTCCAAAACTCTCCCATTATTCCTTTACTCACTCACTCTTTGATATTCTGTACCTGCTCTCCTCTCTACATAATCCTTCTCCTCACACACTCACACACTCTTACTGTGGGTTTTCTGTGTCATCGGTCCATGATAGTGAATTAACTAGAACCGGTTTCTCTGAGGCCTGGAGTCAGACGGTGACGCAGGTGGGCGTCTGGGTGTTCATTTCACACCTGTTAATCGCTGCTCACACACTCACACACACACATTTTCTCTCTGTCTTATAAACACACACTTGTGCCGACGCACCTTCCCAAGGGCGGCGGAGTCGTGGCTCCCCTCCTAATGTAGCAGCCAATCAAAACATGATTCTCTGCCCCCTGAAGAACGTGGGTGGCATGTAATGTGGCGCTCAGTCAGAAGTCACTGTTCAGTTTATTTTGGTACACAAACAGCAGCGGACAAACTGAAGGGCTGTGACTGGTGATGGTGATGATGATGATGATCTACACTGTTGGTTGTATGTTCTTTCTTGTATGTTACACAAATTGTTTTTAAATGTTTTGTTTCTTTTTGCTTGGGGTGTGCGAAATGTCAGCTCGTTTTTTGTGCTGCGCATAAAAATGACAAATGAAGTTCAGTTCAGTTCATAACGTTATATATGACAACACAGCATCCAGTTGCTAATGGCTAACGTTAGCCTACTGTAGCGTAGCCTCTGAAACATTAATGTTATCTTCCTTGTGCGTTTCCACTTACTAGTAACGTTAACGCTACTATCTAACGTTAGCACTGTAACTTTATTCTAAAATTCATCAGTCATCACTGACTCCGGTTGAGTTTTAAAACTCCGGGGTTGCATTTGTAACGTTACACTCGCCCTCCTCTTCCGCGTATCTAACATTACCATGCCAACACCTATGCCTATCATAGACGTAATGAGGACGTAATGGAGGGGGGGGGGGGAGTAGGCCTTTGGAGGGAGGTGGAGTTGCAGGAGGAGGAGGATGGGTATTAGAGGGAGGTGGGAGTTGCTTTAATGTGTTGTGAATATCATGTCAGAAAATTCTTCACGTGAAAGAAATCTCATTTAATCCTCTGTTGTAGTTGCATTTATGGTTCCCAGGGTCATGGAATTCCTGGAAAATTTATGACAATAGAAAAAGTTTTCCACACCTGGGAACGGTTTGAATTTAACAGAATGTTTTGGAAAGTTTTGAATAAATGTTGTTTCGGCCATTTTTATGCCCCCATGCCGGAAATAGCCATGGCCGGTTTGTCGTCCGTCCCATTCTCGTGAACGCGATATCTCAGGAACATCTTCAGGGAGTTTCTTAAAATTTGGCGCAAATGTTCACTTTGAGTAAAGGATGAACTGATTAGAATTTGATGGTCAGTCAAGGAGAAATTAATTCGATTTTTCGTGTTCAAGGGTCAAATGTCAAGTTCACTGTGACATTGAATACCTCTCATTTTGTGAACACGATATCTCAAAAATGCCTTAAAGGAATTTCTTCAAATTTGGCTCAGACGTCCACTTTGAGTAAAGAATGAACTGATTAGAATGTGATGGTCAAAGGTCAAGGTGACCGTGACCTTGTTTGTCACATATTCGAGGACGCAACAGTTGAGGATCAAAGGTCAAAGTCACCGTGGCATTGTATACCTCTCATTTCATGAATGTGTTATCTCAAGAACACTTTCAGAGAGATTCCTGAAATTTGGCACAAATGTTCACTTTGAGTAATAGATGAACTGATTAGAATTTGAAAGTCAAGGTCACTGTGACCTTGTTTGTCACATTCTCGTGAATGCAATATCTCAGGAATGCCTTGAACGAATTTCCAAATTTGGCACACATGCTCACTTGGAATCAAGGAGAAACTAAACAGATTTTGGTAGTCAAGGGTCAAAGGTCAAGGTCACCATGACATTCCATACCTCTTATTTTGTGAACACGATATCTCACAACACCTTGAAGGAATTTTTGGCTCACATGTCCACTTTGAATATAGGATGAACTGACTACAATTTGATTATCAAAGGTCAAGGTCACTGTGACCTTGTTTGTCACATTCACATGAATGCAATATCTCAGGAATGTCTTGAAGTAATTTCCAAATTTGGCACAAACATTCACTTGGCACACACGTTCACTTGGCACACACGTTCACTTGGAATCAAGGAGAAACTAAACAGATTTTGGTAGTCAAGGGTCAAAGGTCAAGGTCACCATGACATTCCATACCTCTCATTTTGTGAGCATGGTATCTCACAACACGTTGAGGGAATTTTTGGCTCAAACGTCCACTTTGAATAAAGGATGAACTTATTACAATTTGATTACCAAAGGTCAAGGTTACTGTGACCTTGTCTGTCTCGTTTTTGTGAATGCGAAATCTCAAGAATGCCTATAGGGAATCTTTCCAAATTTGCCACAAACGTCCATTTGGAATCATGGAGGGATTGATTAGGTTTTGTCGGTCAAGGGTCGAAGATCAAGGTCAGTGTGACATTGCTCACCTCCCATTTCATGAACATGATATCTCAGAAACGTCCAAATTTGGCACAATCCTCTGCTTTGAGTCAAGATTGAAGTGATTAGAATTTAGTGGCCGAGGGTCAAAGGTCAAGGTCACTGTCACCTCACAGAACATGTTTTTGGCCATAACTCAGAAATTCATACACTGACTATGGCAAAATTTTAACCCAAACATCTGATAGGATAAAATTATGGCGTCAACTTCTTGGATCCACTCAGATATCACACACACTGACACATCTGAAACCAGTCATTAGTAGACACTGTTGCCAGTTAACTTCCTGTTGATCTTGATTTGACATGTTCAGTACAGTGCAGTTACATTTCAGTTTTCCGTGTTGTTAACTTCCACTGTCTTCTTGATTCCAGGGAAAAGAGGCCACCGTGGAGCCGTGGGAGGACACCAACTTCCACCTGTATAAAGTCATCGACCGCTTCGGCTTTGTTCAGTAAGGACTCACACAGACAAACATCACAACCTGTCATTACTCCTGATCACTAAATTAATGACCTCCAGACGCCAGTTTGAACAGCAGCACCACACTGAGGGGAGCAGGGAGAAAATGAGAGGCTGTGGAGGCGAGTGTCGCTGAGAGCAGAGTGTGTTTGTGGCTTTGGCCGGGCCGGTCTTGAGGCTGCGAGGCTCTTAAACAGTACTGTGCTGGAGTGTTTTATATATATATAGGCTGGCACACGCAGGCAGGAAACAGCCTGGTTAGCCATAATCACAGGGCATCAGTGTTAACAGAGAGTGGTGCGATCCAGACCAGACGCTAGTGAAACATGGAGGGAGAGATTGAAGGATTGTGGAAGAAAAAAACCTCAGGGTTATATGATTGTTTAAGACAGGGACAGAAGTAGCCTGAGGTGAAGGTCACCGACTGGGCAGAGGAAGAAGATGAAGATGATGCTTCAGACTGGGCAGACCAGCAGCAGGGAAGAGCCAAGAGGACTCATGATCTCCACGTGGTCTGCAGGCTGAAGATGCTGCGTGGACGGAAAGAGCAGAGCAAGAATAGACAATAACTTAAAGGGCGTCTTCACAGATTTTATTTTAGACCCAAGGTCATTCCCTCAAAAACTGGGTTAGTTCAGTGAAGTGTGAAAGCTGCTGTCATCCTCAGTTTAGGAACAGAGAATCAGTCTGAAGTTAGTTCGAAGATCTCTGCAGGGTTTCCCCCACAGGTCATTGTTGCTCAAAGTGCGGCCTGCAGGCCAAATACGGCCCTCAGAAACATCTTATGTGGTCCTCAAAAAACATTAGGCCCGTTTCCACCGCAAGAACTTAGGGGTAAATTTACGGGGCCGGGGCCGTTGGTGCGTGTGTCCACCGCAGGAACCACCCCCGAAGGACAGAGTTCCAGAACTTTTACAGGGGCTAAACAAGTTCCTGCCTCGGAGTAGGTACTCAGAACGGCCCCAAGAGACTCCTGACTGGGGCTTGGGGTTTACTTGGTGCTGATTGGATATACTCAAGGCGGGATGTGACGTTTTGTAATTACTATGGTTATCGTAGATAAGCTGGGCTAACCGTTAGCTGTTAGCTGTTAGCGGTGTCTGTATTAACTCATTAACTCAATATACGGTCTGTGAAAAAAATATTTTTTCCAGCGGATATCTTAGTTACAACATGATTGAGCTAGCAAAGCGGTTTTGTGTTGCTATGTCTGGTATTTATTCAGTTTTGGGAAATCACGATGTCTAGAAAGCATCAGTGGCTGCAGCTGACAGGGACAGCTAACAGCAGCAGCAAAGCTAACATCAGGACGTCATCTGTTAAAAGCCTCCCATTGTCAGATACGACATGAAACTACTCCAGTTAGCTCAATCATGTTGTAACTAAAGACATCCGCTGGAAAAAAAAAAATTCACAGACCGTTTCTTGAGTTATTGAGTTACAGACACTGCTAACAGCTAACAGCGTCTCTACGCCACTACGTCGCCCCGGTCAAAATGGTCGCGCAATGATTACGTCACATCCAGAGCCCGTAACTTTACAGGAACCTTCCTCCTACTCCGCTCTCTCAGTGGAGACACGGCGGCTGAGAGGGCCGAGCGAGAGGACGTTCATGTAGTAGTTCCTGCCCCCAAATAGTACCAGGAACTTCTTCAGTGGAAGCGGGCCTATTGTTGATATTTGGTTTAATTTAGGTTGTGACATGAGGTGACAGAAATTCAATATCAGGACGTCTAATGTCAGGGTTAATTAGATGATGTCAGATGATGTAGATATTTTGATAAGTAACAAAAATCTAAGGTCGTATGTGTCTTGTGCCACATGCTAACGTCATCCTGATCTAGATTTTAATCCTGAGGTGTCAAGAACAAAACCCAGCATCATAATGTTGATGTCATCACATCATGAATTCTAACTATGACGTCTGTCGGACGAAAGAGTCCAGTGTCTTTCTGAAGTCGTATTGACATACAGTGACAGCAAGAGGGAGCTGAGCCAGAAGGTAAAGCTTTCGATGTACTGGTCCATCTACGTCCCAACCCTCACCTATGGTCATGAGCTCTGGGTAGTGACCAAAAGAATGAGGTCGTGGATACAAGTGCCCAAAATGAGTTTCCTCCGTGGGGTGTCTGGGCTCAGCCTTAGAGATAGGGTGGGGAGCTCGGAGTAGAGCCGCTGCTCCTTCGCATCGTAAGGGGTCAGTTGAGGTCTGATCAGGATGCCTCCTGGGCTCCTCCCGCTGGAGGTGTTCCGGTCCCGTCCAACTGGTAGGAGGCCCCGGCGCAGACCCAGAACACGCTATAGGGATTATATATCTCATCTGGCCTGGGAACACCTTGGGGTCCCCCAAGAAAAGGTAAAAGGTTTATGCTCGCATGACAACCAGTGGCACCTCGAGAGTCTGTGCAGCAGTTACATTGTGTCATCAATGCTCGTGCTGTTAGCTAAAATGGGTATTAAACTGTGAATTAAACCAAACAATATAGACGACACTACAAATCTATCCATCCATCTATTTTCATCTGCTTATCTGGGGCCAGGCTGCGGGGGCAGCAGGCCGAGCAAAACACCCCAAACGTTAGTCCCCACAACAACACTTTCCAGCTGCTCCTTGGGGTGTTCCCAGCCCAGATGAAACATGTAGTCCCCACAGTGTGTTCTGGGTCTGCCCCGGGGCCTCCTACCAGTAGAACGTGACTGGAACACCTCAAAACTGAGCTGAGCCCAGACACCCTTCGGAGGAAACTCATTTTGGCTGCTTGTATCTGCGATCTCATTCTTTCGGTCACTACCCAGAGCTCATTGGTCTTTGGTCTTGAGCATTTTTTCAGTGATCTGTAAATGTGAAAATAATTTTAGACATGTTAGATCCTTAAAAAAATGGAAATCAAGAACTCGGCTGTCACTTTTCAGCCTGATTTTAAACCAAGAAAGAAGTAAAGAGAAAACAGCGACTGGAAGCTTTTCAGTGGAGATGAAGAGAGAAAAACCCTCCTGCAGGGACTTTGAAACTGAGATAAGCAGCGCAGGAATTGAGGAATGTCTAATGTGTTATTTCCTGTTTGTGTGACCGCTGACATGTTTGATGTTCCTGTCAGAGACAGTGAGACGAGCGCTGACCCGCTGATCACTCAGCTGTTTCATCAGGCAGTGTTTGGTGGTTTTCTGGCAGCGCTGACTGAACTTTAATTCTTCAGCTGCACGTATGACAGCGAGGACAGAACTAAAAATAAACTGGAGGTTAAAACAGAAGTCACAGATCTCTTTATCTCTTCACTCTGATTCACTCCTTCTCTCTCTTCTTCTCTCCTCAGTGAGAATGAACTTCCATCCTACGACTCAGTGGAGGAGAAGGTGAGTTACTGCATTACTTCTCTTTAACTTCTGTATGTCAAACAAATATCCAACTGTGATCTATCTAATGGTCCAGGAAACCATGTAGCCCCCTTTCGCACAGAAGGGGGTGCTGGAGCCTATCTCAGCTGACACTGGGTGAGAGGCTCTGACCAATCAGAGCAGACTGGGCTTAAAGAGACAGTCACTAAAACAGAGTGTTTCAGACAAGCACTTTTTACAGAGATTGCGCGATATTGCCGCCACTAAGTCCCTTCTACATGACTCCTTTGCATTTTTACACAGAACCAAACGACTGCGGTATCATGCTGCTCCAGTGCGTGATTTCAAATAGCATCCCGGCATCTCTGTATCAAAAGAGGCATGATGGGCGTGACGTTTAACACAACAGTGTCAGTCTCTAGGGCAGTGCTTGTCAAACTTTTTGCGCCCAAGGCACACCAAAGGGCCAGCCAAAATCTCAAGGCACACCTGTATATATATTTGTGTACAAAACTTTTTAAAATTACGAAAAAGCACCAATAGGCCCGTTTCCACTGAAGAAGTTCCTGGTACTATTTGGGGGCAGGAACTACTACACGAACGTCCTCTCGCTCGGCCCTCTCAACCGCCGTGTCTCCACTGAGAGAGCGGAGTAGGAGGAAGGTTCCTGTAAAGTTACCGGGCTCTGGATGTGACGTAATCGTTGCGCGACCATTTTGACCTGGGCGACGTAGGGGCGTAGTTAGCTGTTAGCCGTTAGCAGTGTCTGTATTAACTCAATAACTCAATAAATGGTCCGTGAAATTTTTTTTTTTTTTCCCGCGGATGTCTTAGTTACAACATGACTGAGCTAACTGGAGTAGTTTCATGTCGTATCCGACAACGGGAGGCTTTTAACAGATGACGTCCTGATGTTAGCTTTGCTGCTGCTGTTAGCTGTCTCTGTCAGCTGATGCTTTCTAGACATCGTGATTTCCCAAAACTGAATAAATACCAGACATAGCAACACAAAACTGCTTTGCTAGCTCAATCATGTTGTAACTAAGATATCCGCTGGACTGGAAAAAATATTTTTTCATGGACCATTTATTGAGTTAATGAGTTAATACAGACACCGCTAACGGCTAACGGCTAACAGCTAACAGCTAACGGTTAGCCCAGCTTATCTATGATAACCATAGTAATTACAAAACGTCACATCCCGCCTTGAGTATATCCAATCAGCACCAAGTAATCCCCAAGCCCCAGCCAGGAGTCTCTCAGGGCCGTTCTGAGTACCTGCTCCGAGGCAGGGACTTGTTTAGCCCCTGTAAAAGTTCCGGAACTCTGTCCTTGGGGGGTGGTTCCTGCGGTGGAGACACGCACCAACGGCCCCGGCCCCGTAAAATTACCCCGAAGTTCCTGTGGTGGAAACGGGCCTAATAACATAAATTTAAATGGAATATAATGTAAGAGAATGTTATGTGTTGCACACAAAAAAATCCCTCACGCCAAGGGAGACAAATAGGTTCCCTGTGAAGGTTTTTCATATTATTTTTTTTGCCTTTATTAGGAAATGGGTGTGCATAACACACTGATACAGTCAATTAGAAATTCATTCATAATTTTTTGCAGAGGACCAGTTGAATATTGCAGTAATAATGTGTGGTTATCACAAAGTCCCACCGCACACCTGGATTGGCATCACGGTGCAACATTTGAGAAATACTGATCTAGAGTGACGTATAACGTACATAACAACAGCGCTTTATAAACAATAACAATGGTGTCAACAATCATTTACCATCTCCGGCGATACAGCAGCTGACCTCGTCCTCTGCTCGGAGGGTAAGGACCTCATTTGCGGACATTTCGGGCTGCTGTTCTTCGAGTTAGCTGCTAACTGCTATCAACTGCTTTTTAAATCTCATGCAGTTAGTTGTACACATAAGACGTCGTCAAAACATTATTACAGCCTCCCTTAAAGGTCGAAACAACGTCCCCTCATTCTAGGATCGTACCTTATATACAGAACAGTGAGGTGGAATGACAGCGGATATTCCGTCCTTGAACAGGCGTTGTAAAAGGAGCTACAGAGGTTGAATACAGCACAAACAGCTGCCTGTTGTGACACCTCAGAGTGTTTTCAAAATGTCTTTCTGTCTGTTGAATGTTTTTTTGTTGTTGTTACAACTTGTGATGTTTGGCAGGTTTTAAAATGATGTGTCAACACATCAAGTGTTGCATTCATGTGTCATGGGAAATAGGAGATTTCACACTTGAAAAGCTCTTGACACGTACATATTACTGTGGTCTACAGGGTTTGGGGATAGACCCTGACTCCAAAAGATATCAATGTTACCATTTTATTTAACATTTAATTCCCACAGAATTTAGAAACCTATTACTAATTTGAAACTGATGAATAAAAACAAGATGTTTTGTGATACTTGTTCCCAAAGTAACACACAACAACAAATGTGTTTTGTTCTGCTGTAGAACATGAGCTCACTCAGAAGCGCACATGCTCATAAAATGTGGAGAAGCTGATCAACATCTTCAGAGGGCCTTAATTAGAGCGTCTCAGCAGCTTCAAACCACTTTGAACATACAGTATGAACACTTGCAAGTCGTCGCTCTGACAGTGATTCCCATCGGACACGAGCGCAGCCACAGAAGGACCGACGAGAGAGGAAGTTATTAATGTGTCACTTCTTGTTTTCACTCAGCAAAAACACCTGGAGGTGGAGAGGACCACAAAATGGCTGAAGATGCTGAAGAGCTGGGACAAATACAAGAACAGTGAGAAGGTGAGCTTCTGTTTGTCGCTACGTCTCATCCTCCATCTTCACCCTGTCGGACCTCCGTCTGTCTGTCAGTTAGTTTCTCTCACTTGTCAGAGAGGGATTTATTAAAGGTGAATTCTGGTATTTTTCAACCTGGACCCTGTTGTTTTTGTGTCTGAGTGACTCGTGGGAACAAAACTTTTTAAGTGGTCCAGTGTTGAGTGAGAGAACAGGCTGCAGGGTAACCACTTGGGCAGGTCCCGCCACTAAAAGTGTTTGTTTACAGGCTCTGATTGTTGTTTTGAGTGTCTTACAACGCTACAGATCCTACAGAGAAATGAAGCGTTTTTCCATACCCTTCGCTTCTTCCAGTCTGTATCCAAGACTCGCTAACGAGGAGTGTCGTTCTGAAATCTCATGAGAAGTGACTTGTTGCAGGAAGAAAACTGTGGAAACATTAGTGAGAGTTGGAGAGAGAAGTTTTACTAGAGTGCAGCAAGCGTATCTTAGTGTGCTTTCACACCTGTCCCGTTTGGTTCAGTTCAATTGAAGTTGGTTTGCCCCCTCAGTGTGGTTCATTTGCGCAGGTGTGAACACAGCAATCACACTCAGGTGTGCACCAAAACAACTGGACTGAGACCTTCTTGAAGAGGTGGTCTCGGTCCGGTTATTCAATTCAATTCAATTTTATTTATAAAGCCCAATATCACAAATCACAATTTGCCTCACAGGGCTTTACAGCATACGACATCCCTCTGTCCTTAAGACCCTCACAGCGGATAAGGAAAAACTCCCCAAAAAAAAAACCCTTTAACGGGGAAAAAAAACGGTAGAAACCTCAGGAAGAGCAACTGAGGAGGGATCCCTCTTCCAGGACGGACAGACGTGCAATAGATGTCGTACAGAACAGATCAGCATAATAAATTAACAGTAATCCATATGACACAATGAGAGAGAGAGAGAGAGAGAGAGAGAGAGAGAGAGATGCAGGTAATGACAGTAGCTTACAGATGAACTCTGGTGCGGTTCGTTTGTGGTGAGAAGGTGTTCCGACCTGGATCTGAACCAACTGCAGTCACATGACACATTGTTTGGGTTAATACTAGCCAATCACAGAACAGCAGGGTGGAACTAGGGGCAAACTTCTTGGGAAAAAAATACTGCAAATGTCTGAGGGGTGGGCAGAGAAAGAGGAGGAGACTAATTTGCATATTGATAAATCAGTGCATACAAAATGGGGCAGAATTGTAAAGTCACATTCGAGTCATTTTACGGCATGAAGGGATTTTTTTTGCCTCTGTGCTGGTGATAGCTGTGGCATTATGTCCATACATACATCCCCTTCACCTAAAAGCACTATCTCAAGAGCATCTTGAGGGATTTTTTCAAATTTGGCACAAACGTCCACTTGGACTCAACTGTGAACTGATTAGATCTTGGTGGTCAAAGGTCACTGTGACCTCGTCTGTCTCATTCTCGTAAACATGATATCTCAAGAACACTTTGAGGGACTTTTTTTTATTTTTAAATTTTACATTTGGCACGAACATCCACTTGGATTTAAGGATAAACTGATTAGATTTTGGTGGTCAAAGGTCACTGTGACCTTGTCTGTCTCATTCTTGTAAACATGATATCTCAAGAACACTTTGAGGGACTTTTTTAAAAATTTGGCACAAACGTCCACTTGGACTCAACTGTGAACTGATTAGATCTTGGTGGTCAAAGGTCACTGTGACCTCGTCTGTCTCATTCTCGTAAACATGATATCTCAAGAACACTTTGAGGGACTTTTTTTTATTTTTAAATTTTACATTTGGCACGAACATCCACTTGGATTTAAGGATAAACTGATTAGATTTTGGTGGTCAAAGGTCACTGTGACCTTGTCTGTCTCATTCTTGTAAACATGATATCTCAAGAACACTTTGAGGGACTTTTTTAAAAATTTGGCACAAACGTCCACTTGGACTCAACTGTGAACTGATTAGATCTTGGTGGTCAAAGGTCACTGTGACCTCGTCTGTCTCATTCTCGTAAACATGATATCTCAAGAACACTTTGAGGGACTTTTTTTTATTTTTAAATTTTACATTTGGCACGAACATCCACTTGGATTTAAGGATAAACTGATTAGATTTTGGTGGTCAAAGGTCACTGTGACCTTGTCTGTCTCATTCTTGTAAACATGATATCTCAAGAACACTTTGAGGGACTTTTTTAAAAATTTGGCACAAACGTCCACTTGGACTCAACTGTGAACTGATTAGATCTTGGTGGTCAAAGGTCACTGTGACCTCGTCTGTCTCATTCTCGTAAACATGATATCTCAAGAACACTTTGAGGGACTTTTTTTTATTTTTAAATTTTACATTTGGCACGAACATCCACTTGGATTTAAGGATAAACTGATTAGATTTTGGTGGTCAAAGGTCACTGTGACCTTGTCTGTCTCATTCTTGTAAACATGATATCTCAAGAACACTTTGAGGGACTTTTTTAAAAATTTGGCACAAACGTCCACTTGGACTCAACTGTGAACTGATTAGATCTTGGTGGTCAAAGGTCACTGTGACCTCGTCTGTCTCATTCTCGTAAACATGATATCTCAAGAACACTTTGAGGGACTTTTTTTTATTTTTAAATTTTACATTTGGCACGAACATCCACTTGGATTTAAGGATAAACTGATTAGATTTTGGTGGTCAAAGGTCACTGTGACCTTGTCTGTCTCATTCTTGTAAACATGATATCTCAAGAACACTTTGAGGGACTTTTTTAAAAATTTGGCACAAACGTCCACTTGGACTCAACTGTGAACTGATTAGATCTTGGTGGTCAAAGGTCACTGTGACCTCGTCTGTCTCATTCTCGTAAACATGATATCTCAAGAACACTTTGAGGGACTTTTTTTTATTTTTAAATTTTACATTTGGCACGAACATCCACTTGGATTTAAGGATAAACTGATTAGATTTTGGTGGTCAAAGGTCACTGTGACCTTGTCTGTCTCATTCTTGTAAACATGATATCTCAAGAACACTTTGAGGGACTTTTTTAAAAATTTGGCACAAACGTCCACTTGGACTCAACTGTGAACTGATTAGATCTTGGTGGTCAAAGGTCACTGTGACCTCGTCTGTCTCATTCTCGTAAACATGATATCTCAAGAACACTTTGAGGGACTTTTTTTTATTTTTAAATTTTACATTTGGCACGAACATCCACTTGGATTTAAGGATAAACTGATTAGATTTTGGTGGTCAAAGGTCACTGTGACCTTGTCTGTCTCATTCTTGTAAACATGATATCTCAAGAACACTTTGAGGGACTTTTTTAAAAATTTGGCACAAACGTCCACTTGGACTCAACTGTGAACTGATTAGATCTTGGTGGTCAAAGGTCACTGTGACCTCGTCTGTCTCATTCTCGTAAACATGATATCTCAAGAACACTTTGAGGGACTTTTTTTTATTTTTAAATTTTACATTTGGCACGAACATCCACTTGGATTTAAGGATAAACTGATTAGATTTTGGTGGTCAAAGGTCACTGTGACCTTGTCTGTCTCATTCTTGTAAACATGATATCTCAAGAACACTTTGAGGGACTTTTTTAAAAATTTGGCACAAACGTCCACTTGGACTCAACTGTGAACTGATTAGATCTTGGTGGTCAAAGGTCACTGTGACCTCGTCTGTCTCATTCTCGTAAACATGATATCTCAAGAACACTTTGAGGGACTTTTTTTTATTTTTAAATTTTACATTTGGCACGAACATCCACTTGGATTTAAGGATAAACTGATTAGATTTTGGTGGTCAAAGGTCACTGTGACCTTGTCTGTCTCATTCTTGTAAACATGATATCTCAAGAACACTTTGAGGGACTTTTTTAAAAATTTGGCACAAACGTCCACTTGGACTCAACTGTGAACTGATTAGATCTTGGTGGTCAAAGGTCACTGTGACCTCGTCTGTCTCATTCTCGTAAACATGATATCTCAAGAACACTTTGAGGGACTTTTTTTTATTTTTAAATTTTACATTTGGCACGAACATCCACTTGGATTTAAGGATAAACTGATTAGATTTTGGTGGTCAAAGGTCACTGTGACCTTGTCTGTCTCATTCTTGTAAACATGATATCTCAAGAACACTTTGAGGGACTTTTTTAAAAATTTGGCACAAACGTCCACTTGGACTCAACTGTGAACTGATTAGATCTTGGTGGTCAAAGGTCACTGTGACCTCGTCTGTCTCATTCTCGTAAACATGATATCTCAAGAACACTTTGAGGGACTTTTTTTTATTTTTAAATTTTACATTTGGCACGAACATCCACTTGGATTTAAGGATAAACTGATTAGATTTTGGTGGTCAAAGGTCACTGTGACCTTGTCTGTCTCATTCTTGTAAACATGATATCTCAAGAACACTTTGAGGGACTTTTTTAAAAATTTGGCACAAACGTCCACTTGGACTCAACTGTGAACTGATTAGATCTTGGTGGTCAAAGGTCACTGTGACCTCGTCTGTCTCATTCTCGTAAACATGATATCTCAAGAACACTTTGAGGGACTTTTTTTTATTTTTAAATTTTACATTTGGCACGAACATCCACTTGGATTTAAGGATAAACTGATTAGATTTTGGTGGTCAAAGGTCACTGTGACCTTGTCTGTCTCATTCTTGTAAACATGATATCTCAAGAACACTTTGAGGGACTTTTTTAAAAATTTGGCACAAACGTCCACTTGGACTCAACTGTGAACTGATTAGATCTTGGTGGTCAAAGGTCACTGTGACCTCGTCTGTCTCATTCTCGTAAACATGATATCTCAAGAACACTTTGAGGGACTTTTTTTTATTTTTAAATTTTACATTTGGCACGAACATCCACTTGGATTTAAGGATAAACTGATTAGATTTTGGTGGTCAAAGGTCACTGTGACCTTGTCTGTCTCATTCTTGTAAACATGATATCTCAAGAACACTTTGAGGGACTTTTTTAAAAATTTGGCACAAACGTCCACTTGGACTCAACTGTGAACTGATTAGATCTTGGTGGTCAAAGGTCACTGTGACCTCGTCTGTCTCATTCTCGTAAACATGATATCTCAAGAACACTTTGAGGGACTTTTTTTTATTTTTAAATTTTACATTTGGCACGAACATCCACTTGGATTTAAGGATAAACTGATTAGATTTTGGTGGTCAAAGGTCACTGTGACCTTGTCTGTCTCATTCTTGTAAACATGATATCTCAAGAACACTTTGAGGGACTTTTTTAAAAATTTGGCACAAACGTCCACTTGGACTCAACTGTGAACTGATTAGATCTTGGTGGTCAAAGGTCACTGTGACCTCGTCTGTCTCATTCTCGTAAACATGATATCTCAAGAACACTTTGAGGGACTTTTTTTTATTTTTAAATTTTACATTTGGCACGAACATCCACTTGGATTTAAGGATAAACTGATTAGATTTTGGTGGTCAAAGGTCACTGTGACCTTGTCTGTCTCATTCTTGTAAACATGATATCTCAAGAACACTTTGAGGGACTTTTTTAAAAATTTGGCACAAACGTCCACTTGGACTCAACTGTGAACTGATTAGATCTTGGTGGTCAAAGGTCACTGTGACCTCGTCTGTCTCATTCTCGTAAACATGATATCTCAAGAACACTTTGAGGGACTTTTTTTTATTTTTAAATTTTACATTTGGCACGAACATCCACTTGGATTTAAGGATAAACTGATTAGATTTTGGTGGTCAAAGGTCACTGTGACCTTGTCTGTCTCATTCTTGTAAACATGATATCTCAAGAACACTTTGAGGGACTTTTTTAAAAATTTGGCACAAACGTCCACTTGGACTCAACTGTGAACTGATTAGATCTTGGTGGTCAAAGGTCACTGTGACCTCGTCTGTCTCATTCTCGTAAACATGATATCTCAAGAACACTTTGAGGGACTTTTTTTTATTTTTAAATTTTACATTTGGCACGAACATCCACTTGGATTTAAGGATAAACTGATTAGATTTTGGTGGTCAAAGGTCACTGTGACCTTGTCTGTCTCATTCTTGTAAACATGATATCTCAAGAACACTTTGAGGGACTTTTTTAAAAATTTGGCACAAACGTCCACTTGGACTCAACTGTGAACTGATTAGATCTTGGTGGTCAAAGGTCACTGTGACCTCGTCTGTCTCATTCTCGTAAACATGATATCTCAAGAACACTTTGAGGGACTTTTTTTTATTTTTAAATTTTACATTTGGCACGAACATCCACTTGGATTTAAGGATAAACTGATTAGATTTTGGTGGTCAAAGGTCACTGTGACCTTGTCTGTCTCATTCTTGTAAACATGATATCTCAAGAACACTTTGAGGGACTTTTTTAAAAATTTGGCACAAACGTCCACTTGGACTCAACTGTGAACTGATTAGATCTTGGTGGTCAAAGGTCACTGTGACCTCGTCTGTCTCATTCTCGTAAACATGATATCTCAAGAACACTTTGAGGGACTTTTTTTTATTTTTAAATTTTACATTTGGCACGAACATCCACTTGGATTTAAGGATAAACTGATTAGATTTTGGTGGTCAAAGGTCACTGTGACCTTGTCTGTCTCATTCTTGTAAACATGATATCTCAAGAACACTTTGAGGGACTTTTTTAAAAATTTGGCACAAACGTCCACTTGGACTCAACTGTGAACTGATTAGATCTTGGTGGTCAAAGGTCACTGTGACCTCGTCTGTCTCATTCTCGTAAACATGATATCTCAAGAACACTTTGAGGGACTTTTTTTTATTTTTAAATTTTACATTTGGCACGAACATCCACTTGGATTTAAGGATAAACTGATTAGATTTTGGTGGTCAAAGGTCACTGTGACCTTGTCTGTCTCATTCTTGTAAACATGATATCTCAAGAACACTTTGAGGGACTTTTTTAAAAATTTGGCACAAACGTCCACTTGGACTCAACTGTGAACTGATTAGATCTTGGTGGTCAAAGGTCACTGTGACCTCGTCTGTCTCATTCTCGTAAACATGATATCTCAAGAACACTTTGAGGGACTTTTTTTTATTTTTAAATTTTACATTTGGCACGAACATCCACTTGGATTTAAGGATAAACTGATTAGATTTTGGTGGTCAAAGGTCACTGTGACCTTGTCTGTCTCATTCTTGTAAACATGATATCTCAAGAACACTTTGAGGGACTTTTTTAAAAATTTGGCACAAACGTCCACTTGGACTCAACTGTGAACTGATTAGATCTTGGTGGTCAAAGGTCACTGTGACCTCGTCTGTCTCATTCTCGTAAACATGATATCTCAAGAACACTTTGAGGGACTTTTTTTTATTTTTAAATTTTACATTTGGCACGAACATCCACTTGGATTTAAGGATAAACTGATTAGATTTTGGTGGTCAAAGGTCACTGTGACCTTGTCTGTCTCATTCTTGTAAACATGATATCTCAAGAACACTTTGAGGGACTTTTTTAAAAATTTGGCACAAACGTCCACTTGGACTCAACTGTGAACTGATTAGATCTTGGTGGTCAAAGGTCACTGTGACCTCGTCTGTCTCATTCTCGTAAACATGATATCTCAAGAACACTTTGAGGGACTTTTTTTTATTTTTAAATTTTACATTTGGCACGAACATCCACTTGGATTTAAGGATAAACTGATTAGATTTTGGTGGTCAAAGGTCACTGTGACCTTGTCTGTCTCATTCTTGTAAACATGATATCTCAAGAACACTTTGAGGGACTTTTTTAAAAATTTGGCACAAACGTCCACTTGGACTCAACTGTGAACTGATTAGATCTTGGTGGTCAAAGGTCACTGTGACCTCGTCTGTCTCATTCTCGTAAACATGATATCTCAAGAACACTTTGAGGGACTTTTTTTTATTTTTAAATTTTACATTTGGCACGAACATCCACTTGGATTTAAGGATAAACTGATTAGATTTTGGTGGTCAAAGGTCACTGTGACCTTGTCTGTCTCATTCTTGTAAACATGATATCTCAAGAACACTTTGAGGGACTTTTTTAAAAATTTGGCACAAACGTCCACTTGGACTCAACTGTGAACTGATTAGATCTTGGTGGTCAAAGGTCACTGTGACCTCGTCTGTCTCATTCTCGTAAACATGATATCTCAAGAACACTTTGAGGGACTTTTTTTTATTTTTAAATTTTACATTTGGCACGAACATCCACTTGGATTTAAGGATAAACTGATTAGATTTTGGTGGTCAAAGGTCACTGTGACCTTGTCTGTCTCATTCTTGTAAACATGATATCTCAAGAACACTTTGAGGGACTTTTTTAAAAATTTGGCACAAACGTCCACTTGGACTCAACTGTGAACTGATTAGATCTTGGTGGTCAAAGGTCACTGTGACCTCGTCTGTCTCATTCTCGTAAACATGATATCTCAAGAACACTTTGAGGGACTTTTTTTTATTTTTAAATTTTACATTTGGCACGAACATCCACTTGGATTTAAGGATAAACTGATTAGATTTTGGTGGTCAAAGGTCACTGTGACCTTGTCTGTCTCATTCTTGTAAACATGATATCTCAAGAACACTTTGAGGGACTTTTTTAAAAATTTGGCACAAACGTCCACTTGGACTCAACTGTGAACTGATTAGATCTTGGTGGTCAAAGGTCACTGTGACCTCGTCTGTCTCATTCTCGTAAACATGATATCTCAAGAACACTTTGAGGGACTTTTTTTTATTTTTAAATTTTACATTTGGCACGAACATCCACTTGGATTTAAGGATAAACTGATTAGATTTTGGTGGTCAAAGGTCACTGTGACCTTGTCTGTCTCATTCTTGTAAACATGATATCTCAAGAACACTTTGAGGGACTTTTTTAAAAATTTGGCACAAACGTCCACTTGGACTCAACTGTGAACTGATTAGATCTTGGTGGTCAAAGGTCACTGTGACCTCGTCTGTCTCATTCTCGTAAACATGATATCTCAAGAACACTTTGAGGGACTTTTTTTTATTTTTAAATTTTACATTTGGCACGAACATCCACTTGGATTTAAGGATAAACTGATTAGATTTNTAAGTCGGCCCGTTCTTCACCGTCCCCGTCATCTGACGGTTAATGGCCTCTTCGTTTGCGAGGACAAGGAGGGCGCGCAATTCCTTGTCTCCCCAGTTGCTCATCTTTACAGTGTCTGTCAGGTTTGTGTTTCCCTCTTGCTACTAGCTGTTTGCTAATTCCTGCTATCAGCTGTTTCCTGTTTATCCACCGCCAGTGGCTCGCACGTGCGGCGTCATCGACAGCTCCTCCCACAAATCATAAACAGCCCCTCCTGTTGCGGAAGGGTGCCTCTTTTTAAACCAAAAAGGTTCCACCAATATGTCTACCCTACGAGGCGGACAAATTGGGCACCTCGGGTCAACTTGCCAATCCGGCTGTGTGTGTCCAAATGCTCGCAGCTGGCCGGCAAAATGGCCCAACATTTGCCGAAAATCTGGCAGTGTAAAAGGGGCTACAGAACCTAAGCAATGTACTGCTGTGGACGGGCGCATCAGCAATACGTACTTTAACTAGCAGAAGTTGTACGGTTGAGAAAATGCGGTGCCAAAGGACAGGGCTGTCTGACAGCAAGGAAAATATTCTCAATGAAGCGTCCAATCAGACTGATATCGACTTTTTTGGGCAGGCCATTTTTATCGTGGCTAAATATGTTTTGCTGTTACCCCTGCCCACCGCAGTACACACAGCTTCTGTGGTGGCGCTCATGTCTGCTTCTCCAAACTGGGGGTGTTCCAACCGCTATTTACTGTAAGCTATAAACTGACTCTGGATAAGTACCTCTTACACCCTTTCTTCAAAAGATCCAAACTCTCCCTTTACTCTATAAAAAGTTCTGATTGTACACATGATGGTTTCGTCACTCTTTATGTTCTTTATGTTTGTTTGTTTTCCGGTCGTCTACAGAAACTAAAAGCCCGAGCCAGAGGACTCTCCCCAGACATCCGTCAGATTGACCTGGATGTGAACCGGACCTACAGGGACCACATCATGTTCATGCATCGCTACGATGTCAAGTGAGTCCCTCCAGAATTCCCTTTTACCATTGTATTTACTCTGTTTTGTATCCGTCACACATAACAAACATGATCAGAGTAGAAGAAAAGCAAACATATAGTGTATCAACAGACTTCTCTTGGATTTTAACAGGCTTATGCAGGATTAATCACATGGCAACAATTCAGCTCCTGTTCTGTTTATTCTAGAAAAATATACGTTAGATAATTTTCCTGTACGGCTGAAGAGGCAAAAAGAAAAAAGACTGTACAGCACTGCTCTTCACTGTTTGACTTGCAACTAATATCGGAAACAAACAGAGCAGAGACACCAGAGGAGTCGACACAGAGACAAACTTAAATAAGTGCTTTAAATGTATTTTAGCACTTAATATAACAAGTGCACTGTCAGACTGGAGCAACGTTTTTACTGTTAATTAATTACATTTAGAAAGTATTAATAATCAAACAGATTAAGGCTCAGCAAAGGCTCAAAGCTTTCCCAATATGGAAGTGAGACAGCTCACGTCCTGTTTTTCAGTTTGGACTTCTGCTTTGTTACGTAGATTTGGCTACATAAATTAACACCAGTATAATTTGCTTTTTCACGCTGCTTGAGTGAAATTAAAAACAAAACATATTGCAGCCCTTCCAGCACACACTTCATTTCCATGCATCAGGAGGATATTGTGCATGACATTTACACCTACAATGGAGCTTCCAGGTCGTACACGTGGGATTTAACTGGAGGTTTAAGATGCAGTCAGGATGCAGAACCAAAACCTCTGGCTCTAAACTCTGTTTATTGTGGTTTGTGTTTTCAGGCAGCAGGCTCTCTTCCACGTCCTCACAGCCTACTCCATGTACAACACGGTGAGTCATTCACACTGTCTGCAGAAAGGTTACTTTGCTTCTACTATCAGCACGTGTCTGTTTTCTTTAGGTTTTGAATGCGTTTTCACACCTGTTAAAAGTTAAAGCTACAAGTACACAATAATTTTAGTGCGTCCTACTGAATGTAGAACTCCGAGGTAATGATGGATAAAAACTGACCAGAAGAGAGAATGAGTGGATGTGTTTTGTACACAATAGATCGGGATGTAGAACTCAGTGTTTGGCTCATGGACACAATCAGCTTATCGTTACTCCCTGATGTATATGTGTGTTTGCAGGAGGTGGGCTACTGCCAGGGCATGAGCCAGATCACAGCTCTGCTGCTGATCTACATGAATGAAGAGGACGCCTTCTGGGCTCTGGTTAAACTGCTATCTGGACAGAAGCACGCCATGCACGGTAACACATATCAACTCATTTTTATGGGCTTAAGAAATTTTAGAAAAGCACGTCTTGCAGCATATTCGACCTGAACGACCAGCATCCACTGAATGGAGCTGAGTTAGGCTCTGACTCTGTGTCAGTGTAGCGTGACTGGTCTGTTTTTGCTGATCTTTTAAGCTCAAACTTCAAGTGGAAGTCATCGACAGTTAATCTGACGCTTTCACATTTTTTCAACATGCTATACTATGACTTTTTTTCCTTTTTTTCGACATGCTATACTATGACTCTTTTTTTTTTTCTTTTTTTTCGACATGCTATACTGACTTTTTTCCTTTTTTTCGACATGCTATACTATGACTTTTTTTGTTTTTTTTCAACATGCTATGACTTTTTTTTTCATTTTTTTTCGACATGCTATACTATGACTTTTTTTTTCATTTTTTTCGACATGCTATACTATGACTTTTTTTTCCATTTTTTTCGACATGCTATACTATGACTTTTTCTTTTCTTTTTTTTCGACAAGCTATACTATGACGTTATCAGTTTTTTCGACATGCTATACTATGACGTTTTTATCAGTTTTTGCGACATGCTATACTATGACTTTTTTCGACATGCTATGACGTTTTTATCAGTTTTTTCGACATGCTATACTATGACTTTTTTATCAGTTTTTTCGACATGCTGTACTATGACTTTTTTGACATGCTATACTATGACTTTTTTTATCAGTTTTTTCGATATGCTATACTATGACTTTTTTCAACATGCTATACTATGACTTTTTTCGACATGGTATACTATGACTTTTTTCAACATGCTATACTATGACTTTTTTCGACATGCTATACTATGACTTTTTATCAGTTTTTCGACATGCTATACTATGACTTTTTTCGACATGCTATCCTAAGACTTTTTTGACATGCTATGCTATGACTTTTTTTTATCAGTTTTTCGACATGCTATACTATGACTTTTTTCGACATGCTATCCTAAGACTTTTTTGACATGCTATGCTATGACTTTTTTTTATCAGTTTTTCGACATGCTATACTATGACTTTTTTCGACATGCTATCCTAAGACTTTTTTGACATGCTATGCTATGACTTTTTTTTATCAGTTTTTCGACATGCTATACTATGACTTTTTTCGACATGCTATCCTAAGACTTTTTTGACATGCTATGCTATGACTTTTTTTTATCAGTTTTTCGACATGCTATACTATGACTTTTTTCGACATGCTATCCTAAGACTTTTTTGACATGCTATGCTATGACTTTTTTTTATCAGTTTTTCGACATGCTATACTATGACTTTTTTCGACATGCTATCCTAAGACTTTTTTGACATGCTATGCTATGACTTTTTTTTATCAGTTTTTCGACATGCTATACTATGACTTTTTTGACATGCTATGCTTTGACTTTTTTTTTATCAGTTTTTCGACATGCTATACTATGACTTTTTCCGACATGCTATACTATGACTTTTTATCAGTTTTTTGACATGCTATACTATGACTTTATCAGTTTTTTCAACATGCTATACTATGACTTTTTATCAGTTTTTTCAATATACTATACTATGAAGTTTTTTTTCCAACATGCTATACTATGACTTATAGCAGAAAAGTAAATAGATCCCACAGGCCCAAAGATGCAATCGTTGTCATGAAATGTAGGCACATTTGTGGATGGACAGAACACTGAATGTAGAAAACAAAATTTAACACAAATAATACTTTCACTTAGAACCCTCCATAATAATGAATACAATAAGCCAATCTGTGGACATTACAGCCTCAAGAAAGTTTAATGCAGAGTCAATGCATGTTTTTGTATAAATGAACTTGATAATTTTAATTCATATCCAGGACTGTCTTGAACTGGACAAGGAGCCTCTGGGATGACACTTTAGTTTAAAAAGAAAAAAACACGCAGTGCTGTTCAGTATGGTGATCATGGGCAGTGTTGGGGAGCTCATCCTGAAGTCCACTGCCATCTTCACAGTTATGACCATGTTCAGTTCCAGGTTACTCTCCTCATGCCACAGGGCCAGGTTAATCTCCCCTGTGTGTGCAGATCCCTCACCATCCCAGATGACGCAAATGATATCTGCAAATTTTTGGAGTTTAGCAGACAGGTCTCCTGAGCTGCAGTAATTGCTGGAAAACGAAAAGAACAGTGGGACATAGAAACAAAACTTTAATAAAAAGTAAAAAACATCATAACATAGTATGTCGAAAAAAGTGATTAAAACGTCATAGCATAGTATGTCAAAGAAACTTATATGTATATAGTATGTCGGGGGGAAAAAAAACGTTATAGTATAGCATGTCGAAAAAAAGAAAAACGTCGTAGTATAGTATGTCGGGGGGAAAAAAAACGTCATAGTATAGCATGTCGAAAAAAGTCATAGTATAGTATGTCGAGAAAAAAAAGAAAAACATAGTATAGTACGTCAAAAAAAAGTCATAGTATAGCATGTTGAAAAAACTTTTAAAAAATAGTCATAGTATAGCATGTCGAAAAACCTGATAAAAACGTCATAGTATAGCATGTTGAAAAAACTGATAAAAAGTCATAGTATAGTATGTCGGGAAAAAACAAAAAAAACAAAAATGTCATAGTATAGCATGTCGAAAAAAGTCATAGTATAGTATGTCGAGAGAAAAAAGAAGAAAAAAGTAATAGTATGTCGAAAAAAGTGATAAAAACTTCATGGTATGGCATGTCGAAAAAAGTCATAGTATAGTATGTCGAGAAAAAAAAAAGAAAAACATAGTATAGTATGTCAAAAAACGTCATAGTATAGCATGTCGGGGGGGGAGAGAAAATAATCATAGTATAGTATGTCGAAAAAAACAAAAACGTCATAGTATAGTATGTCGAGAGAAAAAAGAAGAAGAAAAGTCATAGTACAGTATGTCGAGAGAAAAAAAAGAAGAAAAAAGTCATAGTATAGCATGTCGAAAAAGTCATAGTATAGTATGTAAAAAAAGAAAAGAAAGAAAAACGTCATAGTATAGCTTGTCGAAAATAATCATCGCATAGTATGTCGAAAAAGTCATAGTATAGTATGTTAAAAAAAAAAGAAAAACATCACAGTATAGTATGTCTAAAAAACTAGCCATAAAATAGCCATAGTGTAGCATGTTGTACAAAGTCATAGTATAGTATGTCGAAAAAAGTCATAGTACTGTATGTCGAAAAAAAGAAAAACGTCATAGTATAACATGTTGAAAAAACTGAAAAAATAGCCATAGTGTAGCATGTTGAAAAAAGTCACAGTATAGTATGTTAAGGAATTCTACATATACCCTGAAATAAGACACAGATAAAAGATTGTGACAAACTGTGAATTAAAATCCAAGTCAGCACCATCTAACCTGGTCGTTCTTTCTGTCCTCACCTTTAGGGTTCTTTATCCCCGGCTTCCCGAAGCTGATGCGTTTCCAGGAACACCATGACCGCATTCTCAAGAAGATGATGCCCAAACTGAAACAACACCTGGTGAGACACTGCTGTAGCAATTAATAATGCAGCAAGTGCTGAATAATGGAACAACTGCTCATAATAACAAAAACATATCCAAATAACTCAAGGATTAAATAATACTGCTGGATTATGTTAACACACCAAAGTTTACTAACTTTATTAATAATATATACTGTATGTAAAAATGTGGGGTATACACTGGTGATGTTCAGGTTTCCTGGACATACAAACAAGCAGAATATTTTTAGATTTTGAAAAGTGACAAATTAAATATATGCAAGTATTTGGATTTAAAAAAAAGTGTGAATTATGCTAATGCAGAATTTAAAGAGTCAAAGTGGAGCAGCAGATAAACAAAAACTTGAAAGGTCACATTCATCCATGTGACCTTTCAAGGCACACTCAACACTAACTTCCTGTTGCACTTAATAGACTTTTTGTTGTTGTTTTTTTGTGCTGCTACAGGACAGCCAGGAGGTGTTTACCAGTCTCTACACTATGAAGTGGTTCTTCCAGTGCTTCCTGGACAGAGTGAGTACAATAACAGCAACCTCACCTCAAAAATGTAATATGAAAATGCAACAGAATGGCTGCTGTAGTTTATTTCCCCCCTCTCAGAACTGATAGGAACATTTTTGCTTGGGCTTCCCATACCCAGAAATATTTAATGTTTAGTGTTTACAGTAATAAAGTTCTCTGTCAGCTATTAGGCATGAACAGAGTGAACTGTCTAAATGCAATCTGGAAGAAAACAACTTCAGATCCGTCTGCACTACATTATATGTTACAGTAGGTAGTTTTCTTTATTGCCATCAAATCCCATGAAAGACCAAAACCAACAAAGACTGAGTATTACAAACAAGATCCAAACAAATGTCCTCCTGTATGAATACGACTGCTGAAAACTTAACTTCCCAGCTTTGAAAGAAAAGTACTGCAGCTTTTCAAACTAGAAATTACTGCCTTCGTGAACTAGTCAAGTTGCAGTTACAGTTTATATTCAAAGATATGACACTGAATAATGGCCAGAAAAGTGTTTGTGCTGAACACAATTTGTCTGAAATTTTGTTGTGATTGGCCGAAAATATGTATTGTGAAGTCACAGTGACCTTTGAAATCGACCACCAAATTCAGTTCATCATTAAGTGAACGTTTGTGCCAAATCTGAAAACATGACTGTCTTGAGATATGGCATTCACAAGAATGAGACTAATAAAAGGTCACGGTAATTTTGACCTTTGACCACTAAAATTTAATCAGTTGATCAGTGAGTCGAAGTGCACGTTTGTGTTAAATTTTTTATATAAAATCCTCAAGGTATTGAGGTATTGCGTTCACAAGGATGAGTCAGACAAGGTCACAGTGACCTTGACCTTTGACTTACAACCCCAAAGATTAAATCACTTAATCGTTGAGTCCAAGTGGACGTTTGTGCCAAATTTGAAAGATTCCCTCAAGGCTGTGCTTAGATATTGCATTCACGAGAATGGGATGGACAGACGGACAACCCGAAAACATAATGCCTCCATCCACAACTATCGGTAGCACACTGAGACAGACAAGGTCATAGTGACCTTGACCCTGATGTATAACCACCAAGATCAAGACGCTACATCGTTGAGTCCAAGTGGATGTTTGTGCCAAATCTGAAGAAATTCCCTCAAGGCGTTCCTTCGATACTGTGTTAGTGAGAATTGGATGGACGAAAAGATAATGCTTCTGGCCACAACTATCGCTGGCACACAGACATAAAGATAAATCTATATTTGTATGCAATTTTTAGAAATTTATATTGTCCAGGAGCCAATGTGTTAGAGTAGGAAATTCAGTAAAATCAAAGATGGTCTAACACATTGTTAGTTTTTGGTCTTTTTAAGGGATTTGTTTGACAGTATCAAAAATATAGACATAAAACCAGCCTTGTCCAGTCAATACATCAGTGTATATAGTCTGTATAATATAACAAGAAGCACACAGGATAAACAATAAGCTCTTTAAACCTTTTGTTGTGTTTGTGTCCAGACTCCCTTCACCCTCACCCTCAGGATCTGGGACATCTACATCTTGGAGGGAGAACGGGTGCTGCCCACCATGTCCTACACTATCCTCAAACTGCACAAGAGTAAGACTGTTTAGTCTACGCTGTGGTCCCAGCTGGTGTCCACCTGTCAGAGACTGACTATGTTGTGTGTGTGTGTGTGTGTGTGTGTGTGTGTGATCTACAGAGCATCTGATGAAGCTGTCCATGGAGGAGCTGGTGGAGTTTCTGCAGGTGACTTTGTCCAAAGATTTCTTCTTCGAGGACGACTTTGTGATCGAGCAGCTACAGGCGTCCATGACGGAGCTCAGGAGGGCGAAGCTGGAGCTGCCCGCACCAGGTACTGTTAGGGCATGACGCACACAGACGGAGAATCACCCACGTTAATACCTAAAGGGACATTTCTGACTGAAGTTCTGATGCGGCCGACTCAACGCTGAACCAAAACAAAATACAAACCAAAATACTGCTCTGTTCTTCACATTTTTACTATGGAACTGATTAATAATTTGAACTGAAATTTTTCAATACTTTAACAGCAAAAGTTGATATATAAAATTAAGACTAATTAATTACACAGCATGTAATTAATTCGATTTTTTTTTTGATCGCTTGACAGCCCTATTTTAAATCAAATCTTTTAAGGGTTTAGACAAAAAAAAGCACTTTTATTAATTCAATGATTAGTCTATTAGTTAAAAAAATACACAAGTTATAAGTCCTAAAATCTTGGAAAAAAACTGCTTGTGTTTTTTTTTTAACACACACACATTGAAAAATAACTAAAGAAAACCAGCAATCCACCTGACATCAAATTAACAGTGAAACAAACACTCCTATGTATGATGTCTTTTACACGACAGTCCCTGTGGCTTCCTGCTGTCCTTTAGCTCGTAGCTGTATCAGTAAATTAGCAGTATGTGTGTGTTTCTAATCTTGCTCTGTCTCCTCATTAATCTGCCTTCTCTCCTTCTTCTTTCAAACAATGTTAGCCAACAACAACAAAAGTGTGGCCGTGAGTGGGGGCCACATCCCCTCCTACAACAGTAACCGGTGGGCTATCCTGACTGGTCTTCCCCCTCTCCATGTCTCTGTCCATCTGTCCCTCAGTCAGTCCGTTCGTTCGTTCTTCGTCCGTCCTGTCTGTCGCCTGTCTGTCCAGCAGCACTCGGGTTTTTCCTTCACAAACTAGTCTTCCAGCTGTTTTTTATTCCCCCACATTAATATTTTAACTAAGTTCAGATGCATTGCTTCAGTCCTGCAGTGGCTGGCCCTCCTCCTGTCTTTGTATCTTCAGTTTTTTTCCTACGCTTTACTTCTGTTTTGATTCTGAAGTGGTTGTAGAGTTTCAGCTGTGTCCATAAAGGTCTTTCAGGTGACATAACGTGCCATCTGGTGGCCAACTAAAGGCACTGCATGATGAGTTTTAAGTCTGAAGTTAACATTTAAATATTTATTTTGCGTTTTTTAGTTAACAGCTGTTCTGCACATTAATTATTTAAACATGAAAATGGCTCTTTAAAGTGGCTGTACTGACTTGAAAGTACCAACTGCTTTTTATAAAGTTGGGTTACTGGGTTAGAGAAATATACCTTAATTGGACAGCTCACCCCTAATCATAAACACATACTCTTCTTTTTACCTGTAGAGCTATTTATCAGTTTAGATTGTTTTGGTGTGAGCTGCCGAGCGTTGGAGATGAAACTAGATGGCACTTGGATTGTGGTGCTCAAAGTGCCAAATACATACTTGAAAAGCTCAACATCAATGTCTCTTTCCAGAAATTATGACCTGGTTACTCAAGACAATCCACAGACCTTCTGTGCGTTCCAATGCCCATACCACCATACAATAATGGCCCTGTCCAAATACCCACACTTGTGCCCTGAGGTCTTCCCTGAAGTGCACTTGCCGGAAGTGAGCTCTGATGCGCACTTTCGGAAAGGGTGCATTAAGGGAGCAGGTTTGCACCCCTTGATAACAACAGAAGACAACCGGGACACCCTACATGGCGGGCGCAAGTGCAGGTATTTGGACAGGGCCATAGTTTGCCAGAAAAAGATTTAGAATGTCCCAGTACATGACCCACAGTTCTCTGCACAGTGAACGCTACATCACATTAACCACGCCGCAAACAAATGACAGCTCATTGACAGCTGTCACAAGTCACAATGACAGGTGACAGCACATTGAAGTTACTAATTACCAGTCAAACAGTAATAATGGGAATATAATGTAATGAAACGAAATAATCATAAATATTACAAACAACAAAAGGACGTAACTAAAAAGAACACTGGCAGAGAACTGCAGATGTGATTTCACTGTCACAGATATATGTTAGCATCTACAAACTGTGCAGTTACAACTTTGAAGTTAAACTACACACATCACAAAGTAACAACAGCAGAGCTCTCAGGGTTGATCTTTGTCTCCAGCCAACTCTGTAAATGCCGTTTGTTTTATCTCCAAGGTAACAGATATATAAGCAGGAGGATCAAAGTTCAGAACGTTATGAGACAGTAGTGTGTCCTAATTGTGTGCATACTGCATGCAACAGTACGTGCTTTTTAAAGGCAGCTGCGGTACCTACTGAAAGTTTAAGAAAAAGTATGCAAATCGGAACGCACCCCTTGTAAAACTATTTTCTTTCGACCAAACTGAAAGGAAGTATGCATCTACTGCTAGCTCACCCGAGGAGGACGCCATTAATGTTTACATCTTGCACTGTCATGAGCATGAGCATCTCTTCAGTGAGTAGATGCACACTTCCTTCTGCGCATTGATTTGCTTGGCAGGTGTAGTTTGGTACAAAGAAAATAGTTCCTAGATCAAACTGCTCACAACAAGGTCTGTGGATTATCTTGAGTAACCGGGTCATGATTTCTAGAAAGAGACATTGCTGTTGAGTTTTTCAAATGTATTTTTTTTTGGCACTTTGATCACTACCAGCTGAGAGAAGGCAGACATCCCTTTGACTCAGCAATTCCGACCAAAACAGTCTCGAGTGACGGATAACACCACAGGTAAGAGGAAAAATATGTATTTTAGCATTGGGGGTGAACTGTCCCTTTAACCTATAAACTCACAGACTGGATCAGCACCTGTCTTCAATAATCTTCTCCAGGTTGTGTCATCTTCCTACATTTAGTGATTAGTGTGTAAGTTAGTCCTCTTAACCAGCAGCATCCACATTTTTTGGTTAGAAGTTTTACTTTAATACAGTAGCTGAAGAAGAAACACAGAACTTTCCTTTCTTCCAGAGCCCACACAGCTATAACAGTAGCTGTCTGTTCGTTTCCCTGCCCGCTGACAAGATAATGAGCCTCTTTTCCCAACACTGGAGGCTTTTGTTTAACTTCTGTTTTAACAACCATCTGCTACCAAATTTGCTGGTTTGCACGGGAGGGGGTATTTTTTAAATTTGCATTTTTGTGTCAGAATTGGCCACACTGTGAGAAATGACAGTGGTTTTATGGTTTTGAACTTGACTTGGCCTAGTTTGAGTTAAGAGATGGTCTGCTCCTTTCCTGACCACATCACCACCGCAGTGTAATTTACTCTGTGCAAACAGCAGCTGGGTGAATCTTTGATCTCCAGTGGCAGTGTGTGGACTCAGTTATTTTCTATCACTCGGTACGTTTACATGCACAGTTAAGTCAAGCTATGGTTACTGTTCGACTAGGCCACTGTCCTTGTCTACTACTGTCCCAGTATACAAGCACAGGAGGGGAACTGATTTATTGACAGAAGTATGTCCAACTCTGCCACGATAGGTGGAGATATGCCCCCTTTTAGCTTGTTAGTATTTGACCTTTTTCCAGTTGACCTATTACGTCACAGACCAGACAAGTTAGCTACGGTTAGCTGGCGGCAAACTGGAACCATGGTGGACAACTTAACAGCTCTGTAAATATTTTCCTTCCAAAAAACACACAGCTCTGGATGGAGATTTCTCCATGTTGTTACCGGCTTCTTCTTCTGTTATGTATTTAATGCTCTCAACTGTCGGGTCAAAGCCCGGGGCAAAAACTATGGAGTACTTCAACTCCCAATCGCATTATCTGGGTGTGTTAGTCCAGCTTTGAGAAATCTGATTTAGTAAAACTTCAGACAAACATGTTAACATTTAAGTAAAGTTTTTGTCGGACTAATTCGATAAATCACTTTAATGTCATGTAAACGTACTGACTAACCCCTACAAAAAAGCAAAGGCCAACGTGGGAACTTGGACGCCAACAGCTGATCATTTGTGCGGATATTTAGTATCCGTACATGTAATAATTTTGTCTCTTCAGAACAAAAAATGAGATAAGGCGCTGAATGTTTGGAAGGAAGATTCTTGTCAAACCAACCTATACTATAAAAGATAAGAGAAGGTTCGGGTTTGACAGATTGAAAAAGGAAGGATTGACAGAAAAAGGAAAAACAGCATCTTTTCTGTGATTTTTATGACCCTTCAAATCCAATAACATCACTACCGTTTTATTTCCCTGTGACCTTTTGTTTATCAGCGAGGTAAAAGCCTCTACAGCAGCATTAATACTCTCCTGGTGTGAAAGCAACTCCTTGAGGCAAGGTTAGACAGGTTTCATTGTTTAACACCCTCTCACTACGCTGAAATCACTTCCTCCTTCCAGCTGTGTGAAATAAAAACAATACTGATACCTGCCAGCGGCGACCAATATGGTGGCCTTGAACAGCTCTGTCATGAAGTAAGGAACATGGAGGACAAAATAAAACTGGTTTAACAATGCTCGTATACTTTAGAGGAAGTTCAGTGAAACCAGCCAGAATCTGTGCTCACAGCTGTATTAGTGTGGCACTACTGTCGCACACATACTCAGTTTAATATGAAAGGAAATTAAGGGAAGTTAATTAATTTATAGTATGATTGATCATCAAATTTTAATGTCATGCTGCACAGTTCTTATTCAGAATACAACTAGAGGTTTTTAACATAAATATTAATCCAAATGTGTTGTAATTCTGCTTTTTTGCCAAAAATATTACGGCATCTCAGTGAAATCCTCAAGGTTTTATTGATCCATAGAACTTTTAGAAATGTGCAGAATAAATTTTTGTTTTATAAAATATTATGACGGTGAATTAATCATTTAAAACATTTTGACAGGTCCACGCTTCTAACAAGGCTTGTGAGCCAAAAGTGTAAATACGTTGGTATCATGTTGTTTCTCTGTGTCGTCAGCGATCAAGAGTTTTTGAGTCATCTGCAAGGTTCTCAAAAAAAGTTAACTATCATCCTGCCGGTGCTACATCTAAAATATACACACAGGATCTATGAGCAGCTTTACTCACCAGTTTGTGGACAGGATAGTCTTTGGTGAAGAAGGATGCCTGAAAGAAAACAAAAAACTATTTGCAACACAGCTGTTTCAGTTTTAAAGGAAATAATAGTTTTACTTTTTCACATAAACTGATTCAATTCTGAGGAGGGAGAACTGGACAAGGTAGTTTGAGTTAGTCCACTCTGACCCATGTGTACAAGAGAAAAAGGCCATGGTCAGTAGATAAACTCATCACAGACAGACACTCAAGTTTCTTTAAGTTCACTTCCTGGTTCACTCCCACAGCACCTCATCTCCCTCTAGCTGCTGCCTCCCGGCCCAACTCTGGTGATCACACTTTCCCTTCCAGTCCCCATCAACACCCAGCGTCACCATCACTGTCACACTGTATATGTTTCATTTCTTTTAGAGCAGTAACTTTAAGTCTTAACGTCTGAACTTGTGACATGTAGTGTAGTAACTTTGGTGCAAGCTGAGAGGTCTAAGTGAAGAAATATCTCTGTGGCTTTTAAGCTTGTACTTATCAGTCTCGGTACATTTAACATGGTTCATTTATCAAGAACTGTTTCTGTATGACCTTTCGAGTCTGGGGCTACTGCTGCAGCTAAGTACTGTTTAATGAAATGGAGTGAAACTCATAATTTCAGAGACCACTCAATAGAATGTCACCTCCTAATTGAGCCCCTCCAGCAAGCTGGGAATTAATATCAAACACTACTTCTGATGTTTCTTTCTGTCCTTTGCTCTTTGCCTGTGAAAATGTATTTATGTGTCGTCATGAATGTAATTCTCCTTTATTTTTTTACCTCTCTATGGCAGTGGTGTTGCATGAATCCATGTCCCTGTTGTGACTCCTCATCTGACGTGAATCAGCGCCACACAGTGTGTCAACCCATCACTGCTCAGTTCTGTTTCCTGATGGTGCTCTAATGTGTTTCTACTGTTCTGGTCTTGCAGGTAAAGAAGAAGAGTTTCCCAAGAAGCCTCTCGGGCAGCTTCCTCCTGAGGTGGCAGCAGCAGCGGTGAACCACGTGGCCAACGGGCAAAGCCACGCCGAGCCAGTTGAGCCTCCCAGGGACCCGAGTCCTGTACCAGACCGTCAGCGGGACAGCCGCCCCCCCAGCCGGTCACGCCGAGACTCACTGGATAAAGTGATCCGCCGCAACAAGGATGACAGGAGGAACGTCCGCTCCAGGGGATCAGGGGAGATCCCCAGTGAGCAGCAAAAGCAGTCCACCTCCACCACGCCTGAGAGAGGAGCAACCCCGCCCTCAGCCCCCATCCCTACACCACAGCTCATTACAGTGGATAGAGGGAGGCCTCAGGGCCACGCCATCGCCAACCACAACTCCAACGCGGCCTCCAGCTCTCGCAGAGAAATCACTCCCCGCTGGTACAAACCCTCCGAGACGAAGCTGGAAGCAGTCAAAGCAGCAGCAGCCCGGGAGGTCCAGCTGAGCAGAGGGGCGTCGCCGGCTCCTTCCAGCCCAGAGGACAGCGCTCAGCCCCACTGCCGGCCACGCTCCAAGGGCTTCATCCCCGGCTCCGACCGAGGCTCCAACGCCTCCCAGTATGACAACGTACCAGGGCTGCCAGAGCAGGATTTCGAGATCCTGGAGCTTGACAGACCTCCGTCCAGAATGAGGACCCCCCGCAGTGAGACACCCTTCAGTGTATCGTCCCTCCATCAGGGCAGCCCGAGCCGTGGCACCAGCCTGACTGGGAGCGTCGTCTCCGTCGCATCAGGGCCCAGGATGGCAAAACACCCTCTTCCTCCTTCGTTTCCCCACAACAGTCCAGGAGGGGTCCAGTCCAGCTACCCTGGCAACCAGAGCCAGTACCTCACCCCTCCTCAGCAGCATTCCCCAGGCAGAACTACAACCGAAGTCCCCATCTTCCATCCTGCGTACAGCGTGAGCCTGGACCACAGAGGGGAGGACAGACACTATGCCCCTCCCAACAGATTTACCCCGCCCTCAAATGTGGTGTACGGGGAAAGAGCGTATGCCACCACCCAGCGGCCAGCCAACAACCTCTCCCCAGACAAGGCTCTCATGAACAACTCCTACACTACCTACCGCAGGGGGCCGCCACCAAGCTCCACCCACAACCCCCGAAACACCAGGCCTCTCCCGGAGCACTCCATACAGCTGGAAACCAAGGGGAGCTCCACCCCTATCTACCTGCAACAGCTCACCTCCACCACACAGGTCTATGCTCCGGTGGACTACAGGTTTGAGGGGCATCGGAGAGGTGAGGCAAACCCACATTTCCTGCCAGAGGGCGGGCCTCGGCGGCCTGTAGACTGGCTCCCGTGGGCGCCGGAGGATGAGCTGCCCCCTCAGTCCCCAGGCGGGATGCCCCGTTCGCCCAGCTTCCAGCGAGCCCAAATGTCTCCTGTTCAGGAGTTCACTTTCCCCCCAAAACCAGACAGCCTGCTTCACTACAGGACACAGTTCCAGGAGCAGCAGCCCGTCATAAGGCAACAGCTCCCCCAACTGTTTGGAGGACCACACTACAGGCACGCACAGGAGGCGTTTGCCATGCAGGAGTCCATGCTGCTGTGATTGGACGATACAGAAATGGCAAGACACTGTAAACAAAAATAACTGAGGTGTAGTCACTGACACTGTGGTAAAGACGAGCAGTAGTCCTAGCTTTGTTAGGAGCCTGGTTTTGTTTCTGCTCTGTTGTTCTTTATGTGTGAAGTACTGACCTTCTGACTGTCACGCTGCGGCGTTAACGCTGCAGGACACACCAGCCTCTGATGTTTTTACTGATCACTTTAAAAAGAGAAAAAAAAAACTGACTGAAGATTTTATTTTATTTTTGGATGTAAATCATTAACGAGAGGTGACAGTATATATCTTTTAGAGTCTGATATGTACAGTGGATTTTTTTTGTTTGTTAATATGCTGAGTTGTTATCAGTAGCAGGGGCAAAACTCTGATTTATTTTCCATCTTTATTTTTTTATATGTTACTTCCAGATATTTACATTAGAGATCGATTTACTCTATATGCTTGTGAATGTTATTTTTCAAAGAGAATACTATGTCCAATGATAGAGTTAGAGAGCAGTGACTAACGGGGTCACTGTACGTTTTAATTTCAATTTTGAAGCGCCTCCACTGTAGAACGTGCAGGGTTTGTTGATTTATTTTTTAGCCTTTTCCCTTTCAGTTTCAGTGATAATATTCCTTCCTGATTAACTGATGTGCAATTAATTTCTCTTTCATACACGAAGTACAGTACATTGGGTATTTACATGTGTTTGAGGCCAGTGTAGTTTTTGGTTAAATTCAAACCCTGATTAGAGACTCAAGGAATAGAGAGCTAATTTGTGAGGGCTAATAATATATATATTTTCTGGTTTGATAGCTTTGAGTCATCTGATTTGCTATGTAACCATAGGTAACATGTTTTTTTTAATTGCCGTACTGTAGTTTTCACATCTTGAGCACATGCAGCCAGAGATGGATGTGAACTAGTTTCAGTACAAGTTTGCTTTACTTCATTATGTCTTATTATTCTCAACACTGTCATTATCAACTACTGTTCAGCTGCTGGCACTTCACTGGCATACAGAGTCATCTGGCACACACACACACACACACACACACATATATGCACACACTACATGTCACAAATGTGTGAGTCACACATTTCAACATTTAATCAGCCACATTCCCTTTTATTATTATTATTTCTATTAGTCCTCATACTCTGGTTTTAAGCAGTTACTCCCAAACAGTATTGCCGTACTGTTCATTACATTCCCTAAGTTATCTTTGTTTTTTGTTAAACAACTAATTGCAGACCATTCTGATACTTTGCTTAATAAAATGAAGAGGGTGAAAATGACTCTTTGGCTCTGTCTTTGACTGGCTGTAAATCAGAGGTTTATTTCCACAAGGTTTTTCTACTAATAATGAAACTCTGCCCCCCAGTGGGGACACGAGGATACAAGGCAGAAGGTAAGGATGTATTTTTTTAAGTGAGTTTAAAAGCAATAAATGTAGAATTCGGATTATACATTTTTAAATATTCAAGTAAATGAGATTCCAGCACTTCAAAATTATATTAATCCAAAAATTAAATCAGTAATACTGTAGTTTATGTTCTGTACTACACTTCCACATCCAGAAAACAATGAGTCAATCTGCAAAATTATAATGGTCATTACTTTTTATCAATATGTTGATAATATACTAATCATTTAAGTCATTTCTCAAGATAAACTTGGCTGCAGTGTCTCAGATATAAAAACATGCAGCATTTCTCTGTTTTATGTCACTGTACATTAAATATATTTGGTTTTGGACTGGACAATTGAATGCAATTTGAAAACATATTGGGGTTTTGTGGTGCACATTTTGTACACTACACAATTAATCACAATATTGAGAGACTAATTTACTGTGAAAATCATTACCTTGCATCCTTATCTGAAAACCAATTAGTCGTTTTCCAAACAAGACCAAAGTATTATATCCATTATATTTGTGTTTTGAAGATATATTTAGATTAGCTGAAATTTCGTCTCATCCAATCTTTTTTCTATCAATGGGGGATAAATTACAATCTATAGCTTTAATAATTGGTGGATTAATCAATCAGTCAAGCTATTTTTCAATTTAATACTTTTTTTCCTACTTCCAGTTTCTCAATAGTGATGATTTTTAGCTTTAGCACTGAACTGATAATTTGGGGACCAAAGATGCAACATGAAGACATCAAGTTTGTGTATTTTCACTACTTCTTACATTCTCTAAACTAAATAATTTATTAAAGGATGCACAATAATATTGGTACGTCACCAGTATCAGCCGATATCGACTTTAAAATGAACTATCACAATCGCCCGACATGCTTTTTCTTATTGTTGCACAATGAATGAATATTACATACATTGAAAAGTACTGTATTTCATGTCTCCATCTGCTGCTGGGCCGTCATGATAAGAGTATGCATGCATAATATGAGAGACTTGATGATCACTAAAATTAGGTGGGGAAAAATTGGATATATTGATATCAGTATCGGTTATCAGTCATTTGAGATCGTCATATCGCATATTAAACTGCTAGCCCTGCTAAAATCTAACTTGATTTAAAATATACATAAAATATTTATAAAAAATAAAATACTAATAGCTAAAATTTCAAACATTCACCGGCTGCAGCTTCTCAAGTGTGAGAATCTGCTGCTTACCTCTGTGCATTACATATCTTTAGGTTTTGGACTGAAAACAATTTTCTTTCATTTAAATGCCAAATGATTAATCAAAGAGACTATTTCACTGTGAGAATCATCAGGTTGCGAGTATGTCTTAAAGGGATAGTGCACCCAAAAATGAAAATTCAGCCATTATCTGCTCACCCATATGCCGATGGAGGCCCTGGTGAAGTTTTAGAGTCCTCACATCCCTTGCAGAGATCGGCGGGGGGAGCAGCTAGCACACCTAATGGCAGACGGCGCCCCAGACTAACGTCCAAGAACACAAAATTGAATCCACAAAGTATTTCCATACTGCTCATCCATAGTGATCCAAGTGTGCTGCAGCCCCGACATAAAAAATTGTTTAGATAAATGTCATATGAACTCTGTTTTTAGCCTCACTGTAGCCTGTAGCTCTGACTGCTTCTCTGTGCTCCGCACTCACGTGTGCGCGCTCAGGGTGATCGGTGAAAGCATGAGCTTTGCTTATCCGTATTTACATCACGTGACACGTGCACCGCAGGGGGACACAACGTAACCACAGAGCTAAAAGATAATTTGCACTGCGGTCTTTTAGCAAAGGACAGCCCAACATGTCTGAAGACTTTGACATTGAGGAGGAACAGCATTTCTTTGTTGAGCCGTATTTGTTTGAGCCCGAGTATACGGACGGAACTCAGGCTACTGGACGAAGCAGCCGCTGCAGCTCATGAGCCTAACCCTCAGCCAGCCGCAGAATACCGGAGTCGAGCACTGGAAACCTGGTGGTGTAGTTGTTTCAAATGCAAAGCAATGCCAACGGATGAAGAAAGTCTTTGCTGCTCAGACTGGGAATTGGCAATGCCTGCACTTGAGAATCTGGACATCAGTACTGACGAGACTGCTGCTCTTCAGAGACCGTGCATCACCGATCACCCTGAGCGCGCACACGTGAGCGTGGAGCACAGAGAAGCAGTCAGAGCTACAGGCTACAGTGAGGCTAAAAACAGAGTTCATATGACGTTTTTCGTAACAACTTTTTATGTCAGGGCTGCAGCACACTTGGATCACTACAGATGAGCAGTATGGAGATACTTTGTGGATTCAATTTTGTGTTCTTGGACGTTAGTCTGGGGCGCCGTCTGCCATTAGGTGTGCTGGCCGCTCCCCCCGCCGAGCTACGCAAGGGGGATGTGAGGACTCTAAAACTTCACCAGGGCCTCCATCGGCATATGGGTGAGTAGATAATGGCTGAATTTTCATTTTTGGGTGCACTATCCCTTTAAAACCATTAAATCATTTTTCCGAGTAAAATAAGAATACAATATATCCAGTATCTCCAATTTATCTGAACTTAACTTTTATTCCAATTAACTACTGACTGGCGTCTATTCAAATTTTTTTTTTTCTGTTGATGGGAATAAACTACAATCTCAAGCTGAAACAATCAGTGGATAATCAATCAGACAAGCTACTCTGATTTTTAATTTTCTCAATAGTGTGTATTTTTTTTTAGCTCTCCTGTGTCTTATGAGAATGTTAACTGATAATTTGGGGGGAATTAAAAAAGCAACTTGAAGAGATCGAATTCAGCCTTAGGAAATAGTAATGGTAAGGTTTTTCACAGGTCCCTCACATTTTATAAACTAAAAAATTAATCAGGGAAAAAGGTTGGTAGAATTAAATATATGCCAGCCCTGCTAAAATCTAACTTGGTTAAAACAAGCAAAGTGTTATTTTTATAAGTAAATATTCACTGGCTGCAGCTTCTCAATGTGAGAACATGCTGATTTTCTCTGTTTTATACCATTGTGCATTAAGTATTTTTTGGTTTTGGACTGTTAGTGAGAAAAAAACAAGCACTTTGAAAACATTATCTTGGGGTTTTGTCTGTCGGTGTCTCTCTATTATCTCACATTTAAATGCTAAACAATTAATTAAACTATTTAGAGACTAATTCACAGTGAAAACCATCATAATGCAGCCAAGTCTTGAAACCAATAGGTCCTTTTTCCCAGTAAAACAAGACTGGAATACTACATCCAATATTTAATTTCCAAGTTATACTTAAATCAGCTACACTTTCATCTTATCATTTCTTTCTGTTAATGGGGATAAAGTACAATCTAAACCTGAAATAATCAATGAATATCAGTCAGCCAAGCTATTTTGAATTTCAATTAAAAACTTTTTAAAGCAAAAATAGAAAATTCTTCCTAATTCCAGCTCTTCAGTGGTGACAATTTTCAGCTTTACCTGTGTCTTACGAGATAGTTAGGGCTACCTGATCATTTGGGGCACAAAAAACCTATTTAAAGAGATCAAATTTGGCTTCAAGAAATAGTAATGTGTATTTTTCATTATTTTCTAACACTTTATAGACTAAATAATTAATCTGGGGGAAAACTGGAAGACTAATCAATAATGAAAATAATTGCTAACCCAGCTACAAGCTAGCCTGATTAAGATATACAGACATTATTTATAAAAAGGTAAATAAATGATCTGCTGCTGAAGACATTATAATGAGAGCTTGTAGGGAGCCTGATGGCATCATTCAGCTGCCTGTTCACATGTTGTTACTGCATCTTTCAGGATGAATTGAAAAAGACTCCAGCTGAATGTCATGTCAGGAGCTTTGCTGGATGAGTAAACCCTGGGGATCGACACCATCCTGCCTCTGACGCCTGCTGAAGATGTCTGTTGTCAGTGGTGTGAAGATGTGTGTAAATAAGATGACAAATCTGTGGTTAGAAGACCTAACAGAGATGCAGCAGGATGTTTCTTTGAACTGACAAGTCTTAAGCTCAGTCGTGTTATTTTGGGAAACAATTTGCATAAATGAGAAGATAAATATAAGAGGAAAGCTCAGAATAGCTCACTGGAATAAGTTGTTGATTGGAATGCAATTAAAACAAACTATCAGCTGCCAAATACACGCTGCCACTGCTGCACTGCAGAGCCCATTGTGTTTTGTGAAACTTGAAATTAGTGCTGAAAGGATTAAATCACCGAGTCAATTAAAACCAAATAATTTTGCAACATTTCTGATAGTCTGTATAATTGTTCAAGTCATTTGTCACAAACATTTGCATTCTCATCTGTGAGGATTTGCTGCTTTTCTCTGTTTATGGATCATTAAATATATTTAGATTTTAAACTGTCAATCAGAAGAAGTTATTTTAAGACGTCACAGGATTTTTCACTATTTTCTGAACATTTATAGATTACATTTACAGAAAAAATAATAATTATTGATAGATTAACTGTTGGCAGTGCCACATCATGTTGTTCATGACAATATCGGCATAACTTTTAATATGATATGGAAAATTCTTTCATATTTGCAACATTTCGACTTGTTGACATCATGCTGTTACGCACTGCAACAGCAAATATGGCTGAAAGCAGAATTATTACCGACTCCACAGTGGTTCCAAAAAGAGGAGCAGCTTCAGTAGTGTGGAATAAACTGTGGCGTCCTGAATGTTTTATGAACGGCCCCGGACTTCTCAGGCTCTTTTAGTGACTTACCGCTCAGAGGGAACTCATTCAGCGGCTCCTCTGGCAGCAGCACAGTGTCTCTCCCTCTCCTCTCTCGCCGTGTCGTCAAGTGATTTTGTCATAAACCTGTGGAAATGAAAAACCTTCATGACGCTCGCAGC